CCCAGGGTCCTGAGATCAAGTCCCATATCGGGGTCCGTGCTCGATGGGGAGGGAGTCTGCTGCTCCCCCCTGCTTGTGTTCTCTCTCTGTGACCAAAAAAAAAAAAAAAACAACAACTGAGGGAAAAAATGTATTAAAAAATGATTCTAAGTGCTTTGGCTTAAGTAATTGAGTGGATAGTGGGTCATTTATTAAGATGGAGAACACTGGATAAAAATTTGTTTAGGAGTACAAATGAAGACCTCTTTTAGTATCTGGACTACAATTCTCTTAAATGCATTCATTATTTGGAATATTTCCTTCTCATGACTCTCATTCTTTTATTTAACAAATATTTAATAACTCTTCATCAAGTGCCAGACACTATGCTAGATGGCTGGTATTTCCAGTAAAAATGAAGATGCATCCCCTGCCCCTATAGAATTTCTAGACTAATTGGAGAAATAAAGACAATAATCAGGTAGCCATACAAAAAAGTGCAAAATTGCAAGTGTTTAGCACAAAAAAATGAAAAGTACATATTATGATACACTAAAATAGAGTGATTTGACCTAGTTATGTAAGTCTTAGGAGATTTCCCTAAAGAAACATTAAACTTGATAGCAAATCAGTGATTCTGTGAAGAAGAAACTCATAACAGGAAGGAATTTGCCAAATATTTGGACCTGATAAAAGATTAGGAGTCAGCCTGGAGTCCTGATCAGCAGAGTCTACAGCAATCAGTATATGGGCTATTAATTTATTAGGGAGTGCAATCCTAATAAGTTAGGATTAGGCATGAGGAAAAAAGAGAGTCAGGCAAAGAGGAAGACCCAACAGAAGGTGCATTATTGGTTTGGCCACTATTAAATGCAGATGATTGCTCTAATCTGTGGGACCATTCAGGATAAGGGAGTGGAGAGGGGCCATGAGAGAGGGCTGGAATTTATCCACCAGCTCCCTTCTCCCATTGGATAAACATTTGCTCCATATGGTGTTCATTTCTCCATGTTTCCGTATGGAACCTGAATAGGCACCAGGCAGGGTCTCCCAGCACCTCATGCCATAGTGTTTAGGGAAAAGCCCCTCAGCAAGAGGTGCATCATGAGCACTACTGTTCATTCCCATCTGCAGTTAGTCTGTTGTAGTCTATCGAGTGGAGCTGCTCATGCCAGCAGTGGCTGGTACCAGATGGACTAGGCCTAGAGAATCTGAGGGATTTGATACAATCTTTATGACAGGATTGGAGAGGGGAATGGGAGAATGGTGAATGATGGGATTGGGAGCTTAGTAGGGGTCTGACCATGCAGAATATTGAAGACTAATTGAAGATTTTTGTCATTATCTTAAAAGCAAAGGAAAGTCATTGGTGGGGGTTGGGGAGGATGGTCATCATAGGGAAACAGTATGAATAGATATGCACTTCAAATATCACCCTGCCTGTATACTGGTCAGAAGTTTGGAGAGGGAGCCAATGGACACAGAAAGCCCAGTTAGCATGAAAGTGGTCCAGCCAAATGATCACAGTACAGAGCAGTGGGTAGATTCAGGAGATACATAGGCAATAGTATCAACAGAATTTAGTCATGGATTGAGCATGGGGAAAGCGAGAAAGTTAGGGTTTTGGCTTGAATACTTGGATGGATACTATTGCTGAAAATCACTTAACTGTAGGTACAGTTGAGGAGTGGGGCAGGGTGTTGGACAGATTGGGAAGGGGAAACTTACTCATTCACTTTTGAAACATTGAGTTTGAAATATCCTTCCAACATTAGGAGAGGAGATGTCAAGTAGGAAGTCATAAATAAAAAGCATCAGATATATGGAGAATTCTGGGCTAAAAATACCTTGAGGTCATGTGTCTGCACATGACAATCAAGCCTGATGTGTAAGACACATTTGAGGGACAGTAAAGTAGGACAGAAACCTATGATTGAGTCTGTAGAGAACTCCAGAGTCCAACAAGTTCGGATGCCGTATTTTCCTCTTGACAGACTTGTAAGGCAGCAGATTTTCAATTTATTTCAATTACTGCTTTTTAGTTTACACACATTCAATTGTTTTATACATATAATATTGTATCCCCCTATTGTATGTTTTGATCACATATCTTAAAACCAAGAAGTTTCTAAACATGATCACTAAGTGAACATTAAACTCAAACTTACCTTTCTTTAGCATTTCTAAGATAATGTGGAGGAGTGAGAGAATAAAAAAAATATACTAATATATATTCTATTATACTAATATAGATTCTGAGTCTGAGTTTTAGAGACAGACAGCATTGGGTTTAATTTCCAGCTCTAGCCCATGCTGGTTATACTCACCCCATTATATAAGCATGTTGTGGCTTAATTCTACAAACAGAAGATTGAGTTTCAGAGGTTAAATGTGATAATGTACATAAAGTGCTTAATACACATAAAACACTTTGCAAAAATAACAATTTTTAATAGATTGGGTGTCCCAATTACTTGCTAGCCTTATTTGAAACTATAGTATATTGGACATTTTCTTGAAAATTGACATTTCTACATTTTTTCTAAAAACAATCAAATGAATACACATTCATCCTAATTTTACATTTATCATTAAGCATTGAATTTATTGGCAAATTACATTTTGTAGATGTTGCTATTAAATGGTCTATTTGTAAGTATAGTCATTCAAATAAAAATACTTTGTGTCATTTATACTTTATTAATTTATGCTTAATTTATAGATATTCCAGGATCAGAGGCAACTGGAGGTAAGGCTGATTTATAAATTCTGATTCTTCTTGTCTGGATAGAAAAGAATACAAACATTTTTAGAGTACACGAAGTTGAACTTTTATTTGGAAAGTTGAATTTCTTGTATAATGAAAATATTTTTAAACCATACATATTCATAAGCATAATACAAACACCACCTACAATACAAACACATTTTAATAAAGTTCTATTGTATTAATCTAAGCCAAAAAAAGAAAAGTAATCAGGTAAACCAGTTCTACATACCTTTTATCTCTTTTGATGATGTAATCAAACAATTTAAGACACAAAACAAAGTAAGCTTTGGCTCAACCCTACTTATTTCACTATGGGAACACTAGGATATATACTACCACAGATTACAAACCCAATCCCTATATAATCAATTTAAAATTGTTACAAGAATCATATCTTAATGGCATGTAAACATATTTAGGGCTTCAATTGGCAATTATGTTTTAAATGCTTAGAAAAACACACCAACATTTCTCATTATTGTTCTCTATCTCATCTCTTCCACGAATACAAAATAGGAAAAAAATATTATTTGAGACTTCCAGCATAATTTCATTGTGCTTTACACTTTTATAAACATGGGTAAATCTAAAATATCAGATGCCTTTATACTAATAGAATAATCCACCAAATTCACATTTTCTACAAATACACATGCAAAATCCATGAAAAACACTTTTGTATAGCAAAGACCCTGCTTAATTGTTTTCTGATTAATAATTTTGATGGCATGTGCAAATCATACTGCTCACTGAACAGTAGATTTTATTTCCTGTAGATTTTTCTATAAAAATATATTTATGTGCTCACAGGAAAAAAGTTGAGTTGGTATGTGTGGGGTGGCTTTTGATACATCGTTAGATTAAAGGTTTGTTTACGAAGTTAAAAGGCATCTTAGCTTTTATCGTTTTCAAATTTTTCTTCATAAAAAAGAACACCCTGTGACAAAGATAAGGTAACTGAGATAATCATTAGCACTTTATAGTTGAGACAGTATGAGCAAAAGGGGTCAAGCAACGTGCCTAAGGTTTATGTACAAAGTCAGTGCTGGAACCAGGAAGAGAACTTGGATTTTCCCAACCCTTGGACAATTCTCTAGGAACTCATTCCCACCAACAATCCTTGAGATTATATACAATCTATTACATTAAAATAATATTGACAGTTAACAGAGAAAGTTAGTTACGAACCAATTCCTTCTGCACTGAAGATTCCCAGTAGAAGCCAAATGATATTAAGAAAAGGTACAAAAAATAATAGCAAAAGGCAGTGATAATGCAATGTCATTTATCCTATTTGTGAGTTTTGGTCATTGAGAAAATATGAGCAGGAACATTCCTATTAGACTGCTAAAGGGAAACACTGAAGTCTAGGAAAATGAAACACTTCAGTACTTGCATTAACTTCTAACTTAAAGATTATCAAACTTATAATAAATCTATACCCTAATGCTTTTTGGAGATTATTTCCAACCTGCATGATTTTCTTAAAACCTTTTTGGCTGATGACAAAGAAGAGGAACTAGAAAAACAACAGAACTACAGTCAGAAGTCCTAACCTTGGCCTCATCAGTAGCTGAGTACCAGGAATTCCTCCCAGATAAGTCAAAACATGATGATTCTTCCTCCAGAAAAGTGCTTTAGAAATCAGATGGGGATGAAGCTCAAGGTGCACTGCTGGATGTGTGGATCCTCATACATAGGGTGAGGACCAAGACACCTTCCCCTTTGGAAACTCTTTCTTCTGAGAGTTTGGTCAAATCCTGAGCCCATGACACATTGTTTTAAATCAGACATTCTTTTGCTGCCTATATATTTTGGAGGACACACAAGGTTTAAAATGACAATTAGATACTCCATGTGGATTACTGCATTGATCATTATAAAAACATCCCTAATCTTGGTCCACAAGAAATACAGTGGGCTGCATAAATCAAAGTGAGGATTTAACAATATATGGCCACAGCTACAGTTGAAAAAATAAAGGAAAATCTGTGAGTCACTTTCACTTAATTAAGAATTTCATGGTAGGGTTAACAAATGTTTCCATAAAGTGAGAAATTGAACACTGAATTTTACTGGCATTCATGCACAGTCCTTCATAATATTTTTAAACCATTTTCATGTACAATTTTAGAAGGACTAGTAGCCCACATGCCAGGAAATTAATTCCCTGAATTTGTACTGACTTTGACAGAAGAGCAAAGAGAGCCCACCCTGAAGATGTTTAAAATGTGAAAGGCAAACATATGTATGGAAATTTCTACCGTAAACAGTTCTTTTTTCTTTTGGGGGCCAGGGTAAGAATATACTCAACAATAAAAACTTATTTTGAAAAATAGGAAAACATTTCCAATATTTATATGATATTTTATTTTGAGACTGTCGCAGAAAGCAATATAAGAACAAAATCCAAATTCTCTATACAAAGTCTTCAGTTTTGGAGCCTCATGCTAGTGGCATGTTATCTCACTATATACTCTAGCTGTACAAACATGCCTGTTAATGTTCTTTTTCTCACTTCAAAATAAAACACATCTATATTTTAAATTGTGTAAATATTAACATAATATGTACAATGCATTCATGAAATATATGCGAGCATACCATTATATAAACATAGAAAAAGGGTAAAAGCAGTCAATTTAGAAACGGAGATATTAAATGGGTTTAGCTATTAGGCTCTAGCATCATGGATACCTTGGCCTGTTCCTTCATAAGATAACCTTCTGACCACCACTTCCTTTGCAGCTGAATTTAGTCCAAGGAAAAAAAACAAAAAAAAAGATGGTTCTAGATGTCAGAACTGATAGACATAAAAAAAAATTCATGTTGAAACTGAAAAAGTTAGCATTCTATTTTAACATGACCATCTCTGGGCAAACAGGCGCTCAATAAATACAAGTTGATTGTTCACCTAAGACTCCTGCTACTAACAATTTAAATAATAGATTTAGACTGTATATATTCAATGAACCGCTTTAATAAGACATTCATATTCCTCTTTACATTTTAAATAACCAGTTTGCTTACCATCTTTTTACCTGTAGTGAAGTAAAGTCACTAAGACAGTTCTCAGAGACTGAATACAAATGTGCACACAGAGAAAACCCACAACGTAGCAACAACTATACAAACACAGTGAACAGTAAAACCAGGCAAAAATGGAGTACACTGAATCGATACTTTGGGTTCAGTTGAGGTGAATCTAAATACAGGATATGTTTTGTGTTCTGAATTTTCAGCACCTGAAAAACAAAACAAAACAATATAGGCCTATAGTGCTTGGGATTTTATTTTTTCAAGGCAGTGCTATTTTTCTCAACATAATTGCAAGATGTTCGAATTCTGGATGAAATCTTTTGCCAATACGTTTCTATTCCTATGTGAAAGTTCTTGCTCCCTTGAACAGATAAATATGGAAGGTTGGTGTGAACCACTGATGTTGTTTACATGGGATACATTTATGCTCGGAGTGGAAATGTTGCTGTAGAACTTCCATTGCTTTCAACAGAGCCTTTCTCCTTCGATCCAGCATAAGCACCGATAAATGATCCATCTTCACTGAACAGACCGTGGTCGCCTTCTCCATACTGGACTAAGCTGTCGGCGCTTTCTGTGGCCTGCATATCCCTGGTAAGGGATCGAAGGCTTCCTTTGAGAGGTTTTTCATCACTGTCACTACAAAACAAAGAATCGTTCAACAAAATCTGAGATATTCACATAAAGCAAGACTCATGCAGTGGTACTAACAGGTCTTAAAATTTTCAAGACATTCACATTAGCATTGCAGACACATAAACCCTAAATGACCCCTTCACAAATGAGTGCTTAAAAAGTCATAACCAATTTGCGTCACACTGAGTAATTGAGAAACTGTTTTCTATTATTCACAATACTTCTGCTTCCCTTTAAAATTGGGAGGTTTGAGATATGCAGACATACAGTCTGCTGACATACATGGAGGATAATGTTATTTCCTCTGAGTTCATGAACTTTTGGAACTCCCAGTCATCAAGTCCTGATCTTTTGTCTTTACCTTTGATCCTGTACATACCCCCAAATCCTTCCCCAAATTTCTCTTTTGATTAGGGTAATCAGTCAAATTCTGTTTCTGGTAACCAAAGAACTTTCTTTAATACAGTTTATAAACTCAAGTTTATTCAAAATTTTTAAAGATGGCTGGCATTTTTAGAACCTAAATACTACAAGTATCCTAAATTTATGGTTTGGGTTTTATTCTTCAACAAAAATAACTCTTGAGTTAGTAAAATGTCTATAAAATGATATGGTCATCTAAATTTCTGGATCAAGATTTGTTTTTAAGTTCTAACTACTACCACCCTATAAATGTGTACATCAAATTAAATGATTTCATAAAATTTTAACAAGGATGAATTTGGCAAAATATATATATATAATTAGAATGTGCTTAGCACTGTGCAACTTTAGGTAATCAGTGTTGTTCATCAGATAGATCCATCTCTCAGCTTCCTGGGAACAGGGCAGGGTTGCATTTCTCTGTCTTTCCCGAGTTATACATTGTCATGTGACTTGCTTTGGCACAAGAAAAGTGAGCAAAAGTGGCATGTGTCACTTTGGAGCCCATGCTCAATTTGCTATGTTCTATTTCTCCTGCTGTGGTGCTCCTGGATGCTCATCTCCCAGCTAGCGCTCCTCAGGGATCAAGATGAATGGAGCCATCTGTGTTGGACACATAACTTGAGAAAGAAAAAGATTTTGGTGTTGTTTTTGACAGCAGCATAACCCAGGCTATCGTGACTCCTAGAGTAATTGGCTCCTGATATGGGATACTTACAGTTACAGAAACACAAAACTAAAACAAAAATATGGCATTAGCTTAGGGACCTGGCAACAAGTAGTGAAGAAACTATTACCAGAAGCTGGAAGGATGACAATTCATGTCATGAGCGAGAACAGCATCCAGTAAAACTGTCTCCTGGGATAACTTGGAGATTAGATCATTTTCTGGATGAACACGTAGTTTTGGGAAAAGATGATGGGAACATTAAGGGATTAAAGAGATTTAACTAAATTATTAATAAATAATTATATTAATGGGATGCCAGGTGAAATAGTGCAGGGGATGATTTTATCTATCTTTTCTTTTTGTGCAATGCCAGTTTTTTTATCAAAATATAATGTATTATTTGTTTCAGGGGTACAGGTCTGTGATTCATCAGTCTTACATAATTCACAGCACTCACCACAGCACATACCCTCCCCAATATCCATCACCCAGCCACCCCATCCCTCCCACCCCCCACCACTCCAGCAACCCTCAGTGTGTTTCCCGAGATTAAGAGTCTTAGGTTTGTCTCCCTCTCTGGTTTCATCTTGTTTCATTTTTCCTCTCTTCCCCTCTGATCCTCTGTCTTGTTTCTCAAATTCCTCATATCAGTGATATCACATGATACTTGTCTTTCTCTGATTGACTTATTCCGCTTAGCATAATACCCTCTAGTTCCATCCACATTGTTGCAAATGTCAAGATTTCGTTTTTTGATGGCTGCATAATATTCCACACACAGCATCTTCTTTATCCATTCATCTCTTGATGGACATCTAGGCTTTTTCCACAGTTTGGCTATTGTGGACATTGCTGCTATAAACATCGGGGTGCACGTACCCCTTCGGATCCCTACATTTGTATCTTTGGGGTAAATACCCAGTAGGGCAATTGCTGGATCGTAGGGTAGCTCTATTCTCAACTGTTTGAGGAACCTCCATACAGTTTTCCAGAGGGGCTGCACCAGCTTGCATTCCCACCAACAGTGTAGGAGGGTTCCCCTTTCTCCGCATCCCCGCCAACATCTGTCGTTTCCTGACTTGTTAATTTTAGCCATTCCGACCAGTGTGAGGTGGTATCTTTTTTCAAGAGGCAGCAGGGTGTGGGGGAATGAGTTTTTGAACAAGGCATTATCATAGGTTTCTTGCCTATAAAACTGAACTATTAATATTTGTCTTTCAAATATATTTTGAACAGTTGCCATAGGGCCTTAATGATTCTTGCCTCATGGAATTTGAGCCACAATTTGTAAATTTGTAAAGTTCCAAGTTTCCCTCTCTTTCAGTCTCTCTTCTTCCCTTCCTTTTGCCTTCTCTCCCTCCTTCTCTCCCCTCTTTCCTTTCTTCTTCTCCCTCTAATGATCCTTATTCTGGAAAGAACTTAAAATGATTAATCAAGAAATATAAAAATATAAAGAGAGCTTTGGTTAAGTGGAAAAAAAAAGAATCAGTATAGAGCAAAGGAGAGCTTCTAATGAGGCTCAGGTGTACATGGGTTAACCCCAAACAGCTCATCATAATGCTCTATGTCATTGATTATAATAATGGATCCAGGGATGGGCCAGTTGGAGTCAATCAGGTCTCTTTTCCGATATGAATCCTGGCCTCCTGTGTGCTAAAGGCTGTAGAAGCTTGGGCATTGCAAGCTCTCTTGTCTGCAGTATACAGAGGATCTGATTGAAAACAAGGACATCCCAGATGGGAAGGGCTAAGAAACAGCGATGGTTGTGGAAGGGGTCAGATGGTGAGCAATGACAGGAGAATGGTAAGTTGAATGCATCCTCAAGAGCTACCTCCCTCCTCCAGATACCAAGCCATTCCTCCCAGGCATGGCACGCTTCTCCACCTTGAGTTTGGTCATGTTCCACCCAGTAGTTAACAGTAACACAATCCATTTCATTCTTTACAGCCTATCTTATCTCTTTGGATGATCCATTATCAGCATCCCTTCAAGGCAGACAGAGCTGCTCCACTTTTTGCACTCTTACCGTCTTTACCTAATTACAGTGATTTGCAGAGATAGGTTTTTTTCCTCTGCAGACTCGGATCTGTAACTTGTTCACCTTTGTAAATCTAGACAGTAGGTGCACGGAATACATGTTTACGGATATAAATTGGATACAACCTGGGCCCATAATGGCCATGCTGAAGACTTCAAGATGTTTTAATACTCCAAATAGATATTCACACTAAATAAAAATAGTGAAATAGTGTCCTTTTGCATAGCACACAGAGCTTTAAGAAGTCTCCCAGCACACACATCTACCTAGAGTGTGGTTACACACACCCCTGCACCTGGAGGTCGGCCGCTCTCTCTTAAGCAGGTCCTATTTTTGCAAACTATTCTTTAAAAAGGCATTACAATATAGTAGTGTAACCTTTATTTTAAGAATAAATACTTGTTTATTTTTGTATTTTTAAGCTTATAACCTGATCAGTACACGTTTTAATACATTTTAAAATGGAACACTATTTACCTGTATTCACCAAAGGTTTCATCTTTTACTGACTGAACTTCTGGATCTGGATGCAGATCTTCCTTTTCTTTCACTAAAAAACAAATAGGGGAAAGTAACAAAAATAATTTTTGAAGACATACTAACAGTATTGTTAAAGATGGATAATCAATGAGAACAGCATTGCTCCAATTTTTTGATACTAGTAAGTCAAGTTTTTTTTTTTTTGTGGTTGTATCTACAACCCATTAGTTACCTCCTTGTTTATGCAAAAAAGGGAAAATGATCTCCTGGATTCTCCTGATTTGTCATTAGAATTACAGCATGTTGCAGATCTTCATGTGGCTATTCAGTATTATGTGGGCAACAAGTCTTACTGGAAGAGTCAAACTTAGTTATGGTTTCTGAATGGAGACCAAATTACTAGATACACATTTTACTATCCAAAACTTTTTGATGATGTCATAGGCTCATACCAGATCTATGTCACTAAGCTAAAGTGATTAAAAGTCAACCGTTTGGTTGTTTTGCTCTCTTTCTTACTCATAATTGCCTCAAAAATCAGAATATTCAGGTCTATAGTGACATTTTAAATTTGAATTATTCCAAATAGTGGGACACAGGGCAAGGGGGCTCTTGTTTAACTTTACTAGGAAAACTCAAACAAAAATCCTGATGTGAGAGGCGCCTGGGTGGTTCAGTTGGTTCAGTGTCTGCCTTCAGCTCAGGTCATGATCCCAGGGTCCTGGGATCGAGCCCCACATTGGGCTCCCTGCTTCAACAGGGAGTCTGCTTCTTCCTCTCTCTCTCTCTCTCCCCCTCTGCCCCTCCCCCTGCTTGTACTCTCTCGCTTACTCACTCTCTCTCTCTCAAAAAAAAAAAAAAAATCCTGATGTGGGAAACAAAGACAAAAGAAATGTAGCTTACATTAAAATCTCCTTAGAGCTTACAGCCCACTGATAGATACCTGAAACATGGAGAACGTGACCTTCCTCAAGGAACTCATGGCTGCTTTAGTGCCTTAACATTTAAAAGGAACCTTATCTTGGCAGCAGCTGGCCCACTGAGGTCCTGAAAGCCTTGTTTCCAGATTCCTTAGAGACCTGTGCTATCCCTCACCCCCACAAATTAAAAAGTATACAATCAGTCACTGCTCACAATCCCAGTATAGCAATTTCTGCCCACAGGTCCTGTCCCGTGAGTAGGGAAAGGGTTAAGGTCTAGGCAGGAGAGATAGGAGGCCCCTGACTCTCCTGACCAGGCTTGGACACTATTCCTGGCAGGTGGAGATGCTGAGACAGAGAGGAACAAGAGATAAGGGAACAAACCAAGATGGCAGAAGACTCTCAAGGCCACGAGCTTCCCAGTCCGTTCTCAATAAAAGCCTGCCCCTAAAAGTCCTCAGTGGCAACCCTGTCGGGACCCCTCTCACTCTGAGAGCTTTTTTCTTTCCTTTCTGCTCTCACCTTCACTTAGTAAACTTTCACTTCACTTCACCCATGTGTGTCTGCAAGATTCATTCTTTGACTCTGTGAGACAAACCCAGCAACCCTGTAACGATTCTTCTTCATGGCGTCTTTTACTACTACTTGCAGAGACCTAAGGGATTCTTTTAGTTGTCCTATAATATGAAATGCTGACTCTTTTTTTCTTTTCTATTCTTTTTCTTTTTTTGTTATGTTTTGTTAGTCACCATCATTAGAATTTGGAGAGGGTCACACTTCACAAGTGACCATTTGTTGGGGATCCTCAAAACGGAATGCTATATGTCTTTAAATTTTCCAATTAACTAGGACATTTATTAATCATTGAAAATCTAATTCATAATAATTCAGTCCTCATAGGAAAAAAAAAGAGATCTATGACTGCATAAATTTCCATGCATAATTTGCATTAGATGTTACAAAAATTTAAAAATTATGCTCTTTGATTGTTCAATATACGTATAGATTCCCAATAAATATTTGTTAAATGAGTAATAAGCCAATAAAAGAACTTCTCACTAATCTGAACATCATCAAACTAATAGCAGTGGGATCTAAATCTTTCCCCTTATATAAAAGCATCTTGAACACTAAGCAATAACAATAACAATAATAATAATAGCAACAACATAATATGTATATCTAAAAGATAAATTTGGAAGTTGAATTAAATTAAAGCCAATTGTTACATTAACTTTCATGGTTTTTATTTACATTTTATGTACATTAATTCAGGAGGCAGTGTATCTAGTATGTCATGGTAATAAAAAATGCATTCCCAGCAATGGTTAACTCTAGTAATGCTGACTAGTGGAGACAGTATTATTAGAAGGTACCAGTGCAAACATTCTCTGGGTCACAAACACATGACAAGGCATGCTGTAAATAGGTCCTTCCTCTTGAAATATGCGTGTGCGGTTTAGTTCTTAGTGTTCTGAACATCTCTGATATTTTACAGGCAGAAAATAGAAGGCTGGAAGTATTATGTGACTCGTTAGAGACTAGTAACCACCAGAAAATAATACTCTAGACCTTACATCCTTTGGTTAGTTAATACAGGATTTTTTTTTCCCTCTCAGTACATTGCATATCTATTGTGCTACCATAAACCTGACTTAAACGTGTAATTTAAAAAATAAAAGATGTCTCTGAAGAATGCCTCCTAGAAAATACTATTTAATAAACTGAAAGTATATTACTATATTAAGCAACAGCTTTACCTGAGTACTTTCCACCTCTGTTCCTCTTCACAAAGCAAACAGTTAAGAGTATTAGTGTGAGAAGAGCAATTGCACACATCAGTCCAATAAACCAGCCTTGAGTGGAGATGTCATCGTATAAACCAGCGTACTCTGTTGTACAGAGAGAAGTCACACATTGAACGCTAGAGACCATCTTTGGGATTATGCCCCCTTTGGGAAAATGAAGCATCATTTTTAAACATACAAAATAGCATCCGTTTTATTTTGCCTTTCAGTGACCCTAGAGGGAGTGTGACTAAAAGGACATTTCATTGGAAGAATACTAATGAATCGTTCATTCTGTATTTAGAAAGGGCCCTCTCAAGTTGCATTCGACTCTGAGGATGAAAACCAAAAAGGGATAGTGGAGGCAGACTGAGTGAAACACAGAAGCAGCGCAAGCAAGCAAGAGCATAAGCTGCCTTGGTTAGATGCAGATCGCCGTGGGGTTTCTGCGGGTTTTATTCTGCTTGGGTTTTCTGTTTAGTTTTGTTATTAACATGTGTTAATTGGCAGGAGGTGTTTTTTTGAGTCAACTACTCTGGCAAAAACAATAAGGAATATGTTGGATCTTTGTGGAACATTTTTCATTTCGATAATTTTAAAATGCTACGATGAGCACTGGGTGTTATACGCAACTAATGAATCGTTGAACGCTACACCAAAAACTAATGATGGACTATACGCTGGCGAACTGAACATAATAATAATAAAAAAATGCTCTGCCAAAACAAACTGAAACTGTTATCTCTGTAACTAATGTACTCCATATTTTTATCTTTAATACAGGAAGTATGTAAAATTAAATAATCTACAAAACATATTTATTGTCTAAGAATGCCCCAAATACAATCTCATGTCTCACCTCTCCCTCTTGTCTCAATTACATCTTCAAAAATGCTATTGTTATCAACCCAATTCTTAGTCAATAGGCGAACTCTATGTTCAGCTCCCGGCTCAAATACCTCTACGGGGTGAGTCTTTTGAGTAAGATTCACTCCTTCTGGTATCTTCCCGATACTCTTACCTAAGAAATGTACACAGTTAAATCATATAAATTGTAATCATTGAAAAGCAGGACATGAAAAGTAAAAACAAAAAACAAACAAACAAACAAAAACAGTGTTATTTGAGAAGAGAGCCATTTGCAGCATTTTTTTCTCAGATAGTTTTTGAATTACCGGGGAGATCAAGAAAATCAACATTTCAAGATTTCCTTTCGTAATATACTGAAATGGAGGAAATGAAATGAATTTAATTCATGTCCTCTAAAGATGACGTACTTGTTGATGAAATGGTATTAAAAATCTGCCCGGTTACATGAATGGTTCAAAACCAAACACAGACTTCAAAAAATTATACAGTGTCATTCTGTGCAATTTGTACTTTCACAGACCTAGCAGGAAACTGAACATGGCCATTTTGGCTTATTTTTGAAAGCAAATGACATTATAATTTTAAATATATATTACTTTTTTTGTCTTGGTCTTCTCTATAAATATTGATGGAATAGTATCATAACATGGTCATATATTAAATACTTGAAATTTGTAGAAACATAAGCAGGCTTATAGGCACATAAAGTACAGGTTTATAAGTACCTCTAAATGAAATGCACTGAATTTTTAAAATATTATGAGACATTAATACTTTTAAAAAAGAAAGATGACTATATCAATATATTAACTGTAGAATCTCATAGTAGCAGATAAAAATGAGTTGAGTGTGATTAAATATACATTTAACTTCTGATGTTGCAACAAAACATGTAAAATATTTTTGTATTTGATCCATAGTTTTGCTGAGAATCAGCTCAACATAATAAATGTAAATAATTTACACTGAGAATAAAATAATATATACCATGTTGAGAATATTGTTATGAAACCCTGTTTCAAATGGGTATATGCCACACATTAAAATCTCGTTATAACTTTTAACCATAGAATAGAAATTGATGATATAGTTACTGATAACAAAAGGGCTTCATTAAAAAATGTGATCATGGAAGAAATAAGGCCAATTATATTAGTTGAGCAAAGCCTTTAAGATCGAGCACCACTGAAATAGAACACAATTAATTTTGACTTTGGAAAACAGAAATATTAGTATAACATTAAATAGTGCAAGCTTTTGAAAAATAGTGCAAAGCAAGTGTTTTGTTCAAACCAGCAATGACACAAATATTTCTGATTAGCTCCACCATCTTCCCCCTCTTAGACTATGGAATGTGAGTCACCTCAAAATCAGAGTAACAATCAGGAAAAAAAAAAAAAAAAAAAAAAAGCTTGTGTATCAAATCCTATTTTCTGAATAAATGTCAGATGACCTTAAAATGTGCTATCTAGGCAGAGCAAGGAGAAGAAAGATACGCAGAAATAGATTCCAATTTGCGCAAAAGTTATTTTTAGAGTGTTTAGTGATATCAAGATTTATCTCCTCTGTGAAAATATATATGTATTTTTCCTTTTCCAAAGATCATGCTGAAATCCAGTGGCAAAAAGGGATTATTATAGTTTCTTTCCTGCAAATATGGCAAGACATGCCTACAGAAGAGAAAGCACTGTCAACGGGCAAAGGGGCAGTAGCTGAAAGTGCAGAATCCTGAAAAAGAGCACAAACATACTAGTAAGGAACATTTTCAAATTCCTGAGACATAGGGCAGGGAAGAACTAGGCTGTAGGACACTCAAGCACAGTAGCTGCATCTTTCATTTGCAATGAAGATGCAGCATCATTTATAAAACAACACAAACAGCATTTTCCATCTGCTAAAAACAGTTTTTCCAACATGAAGGCGACCAAACTGAAATTTTCTAAATACTTCCATATATGTATATGGTAACTGTAACTATTGTAAGAGAATTTTATGAATTTTTTTTCTTACCTGCTGCAAATTAGCAATAATGGGATTAGCATATCTCATGCATATTATGGTTTTGGTTCTAACAAAATAGCAACCCTCTCCATTCCTTAAACCCTGTTTTGAAAAATACGTAAGTTGCATATTTAGATCACTACTCTTCTGACTTCTTTTCTCTGTATTGAACACTTGATGCCACTTTGAACTCTTGAGAAATAAGATCCTTTTAGTTACTAAAGTTTTCAATCATCATCTTTAAATCTCTCTTTTGAGTAGGTAAATGAGTTCTTCATTTCACTTGGTGTCTCATTTGTCCTTGGGAACAATGTGCGGGTTTCTTGGAAGAAACTCTTTGAGTATACATACTTTTCCCATAAAGGGGAGTTTTGAGTACTTCGGGTATCTGAGGAGAACGTAAATCCTTCATTAGGTAGACACAGTAGGGACGATAAGAAGGAGAAACAGACAGTAAAGGTCAGAGCGTAACCATTCACACACACAAACCCCACTTTGACAGTGATTCACATACACTTAAATATATTTTATAATAATATACATATTTTATAAGTGACAACTTAGTTTTTTTCATTACTATTTTCTTTTTCCATTGACTGACTCAATCTTTTTTTTTCTTTTCCTTTTTTAAAGATTTTATTTATTTATTTGAGAGAGAGAATGAGAGAGAGAGAGCACACGAGAGGAGGGAGGGTCAGAGGGAGAAGCAGACTCCCCGCTGAGCAGGGAGCCCAATGCGGGACTTGATCCTGGAACTTCAGGATCATGACCTGAGCCGAAGGCAGTCGCTTAACCAACTGAGCCACCCAGGTGCCCAATCTTTTTTTTTCTAATCTAAAATTTGGAAACGCATCCAGGGCAGTGTCTGACACATAGTACATGATAAGCAAATGATTCTATCTGCCTTCTTGCCATCTCCTTCTCCTTGCTCCCCCCATCAAATACCCTTCTAGGTCTGATCGACTTGAATCCAGCACAAAGCCCTCTTTTTAACTTATTAGTGTGTGCAGCAGTTCCTCTGATTCATTTCCTTTTTATGCTCTGCCTTCTTAATTTTTCTCAAGTTTAGCAAGAACATTGCTAAAATCATAACTGTCAAAATAATTTGGGAAGGGAAATGGGTCTGTGTTGGAAACAAACAAAACAAAACCGAAAAGTGCAATTGAATTTGGAGAATTATACAAATTAAATCAGAGGTTGATGGGCCATTTCCAAGCCAGTATTTGGCATCAACCAGTAGACAGTAAAATAAAACTGCTACATAAATATATATATATATATAAAAGCCAAGACATGGAAGAGAAATGTATTAGCTAATTGTTACAAAACATCCACCAGGGCAAGAGGCAAATATTTTTCTGTATGAAAACACTTCCAAAAGAAAAATATCCCTCTAGTAACCTTATGAATAACTTCATGACCTTACGTACTCCTATTTTAATTAAGTAAAATTATAGTTCCTGACCTTACATACACTGAGGCTATAGTTTCACTGCTGTTGTGTAGAAATCCATAAATTGAGTCAATGTGAACTTTACAAACAAGAGAAATAAATTCTGTATCTATATCAGTGAAAAACAAAAGGTCACACAGATTGAGATCACAATCATTTCTAATTTACAATGACTAGCTTGGTACAGTCCCTTCAGAGCAATTTAAAAAACAGCATGCAGAAGCCTCCTGCACTTACCCCCTTCTCCTAACGTGGAGCTTTCCTCTGTGATTGGTTTTCCGCAACCCTTTGAAGTACAAGCCCTCAAGTAGAATTTGTACTTGGTAGTTGCATTGAGGTTTGAGAGACGCCAGCTGGGCTTCAATGGAGTCGTAATGTTGATATCATTCAGTTCTCCAAGTTCATAGGTGTCATTTACTAAAGAAATAAACATGAACAACAGTGCCTCAGATTTCACAGCCTTAACAATTCACATTATGTTGTCCCTTATTTTTGATTCTGTGTATGCTTGTGGTATGCAAGGCACTATCTTAATTATTCGCAGCCATCAACTTAATTCTATGACGTAGACATCATTTTATTACAATATCATACATGGGAAAATTGAGGTTTAGCAAGAATAAACAAAACTTTGCCTAGTTTTAGAGCCAGTAAATGGCCAACCAAAATGTGAATCCAAACCAGTTTTTCCACTCCAGAGCCCATGTTCTTAATCACTATGCTATACTGGAGCACCACCTTCATCATACCGATTAAAAATGATGGACTTTACCCCATATTATATTTTCATTGTCTCCACTTAAGCACTTTTAATCTTTTAGTGTAATAATTTGGACAGTAATTTTTGTCTTCTATGGTTTCTGGTTTAATATGAGGCACCAAATAAGTACTTATTATATGTAGAATCAATAACTGGTTAATAAATTACATATTTTAAAATATTTACTATATACTAAGCACTATTGCAAGTGCTAATCAGAAAGATTAATTAGACAGTGACTTTCAAAGAATTTGCAACCAGCAAGACCAAGGGATTTGTGCAAGAGCACAAAGTATTGTAAGATTACCACAAGGATAGTCCAAGAAATGAAACATGTCCCCAAATTGTGCAGCCATTTGTGGCAAGAGAAAGGCTAGAATAAATCCTTTTGGCTCTCAGTCCAAGATATCAAAAAAAAAAAAAAAAATATATATATATATTTTTACTCTTGACATAAAAATGCCTTCCTTGGTCTATATAATGCAATTAGATAAAAAATGAAAAATGAACACACTAAAGATCCAAATGTTGGAAATTAGAAAGAAATATTGCTTTACAGATTTGAAAGCATTTGTATAAAATACCACAAAGTCAGTTGAAAAACTACAGTAATCTATAATTGGAGAGAATTATATAGAGAGCTCTCATACACACAATCAACAACTATTTAGAACATATAAAGCAACAAAAAGAGATGAATTATCGGAGCGCCTGGGTGACCCAGTCAGTTAACTGTCTGTCTTGGGCTCGGGTCATGATCCCAGGATCCTGGGATCAAGCCCAGCATCAGGGCTCTTCCTCTGACCCTTCTCCCCCTGCTCATGCTCTCTCTTGGGCTCTCTCTCACATGCTCACTCTCTCTCAAATAAATAAAAATTTTAAAATTTTAAAAAAAGAGATAAATTACCTAAAAATATTTCCATCACTTAATAGAAAGCAAAGTATACAATTATGTAATTTTATTAAAAAATCCATAGACTAAGCAGTACAATAATCACTGCCGTTGTTAACTAATCACTGCCATTGTTAACGTTCCAGATCTAAGAACTTGTTTTTAAAATAATTTAAATCTTACATACAGATCGACACAAAAGTTGGAAGTTAATTAACGCTGAGTTTCTTTACTGTTAGGATAAAGAAAAACCATAGCTTTACCAAACAAATTAACATTTAAAAAGTCTTCAAATATTTCTTCAGTGCTTTCTACATATTTGAAAACCAGTTCATGGAATACTATAGGCTTAAGAGCTCAGCATGGAGAATAAAACTGATTTAGGTTTAAATATTGCTTAATACTTACTTTACTACATGGCTCTAGGTAAGTTAACTCTGTATGACTCAATTCTCACATCCACAAAATAGTGAAAATACATCCCTCATAGATTTTCTATTTTAATGAAAATAATACAGGGAGAGCACTTAGTACTGGTCCTGCTACATAGCAAACACTCAAAAAATGCTCAAATGCTACCTCTATAGGGATTATGTCTGTATCTATTTAATCATATGGCCCAAATCAGACAGGCCATCAGGAGCCAAACTCACGTACATGACCTGGATTGTGACAAGCTTTGAACTATGTGGAGGCCAAGTAGCATATCAGCTCCATCATCAAGGTGGCTTTTGCAAACAGCGTAGTCCTAGTGTTTCCACTGTTTGGAATTCATATCCTCAAAGTCTAAAACTTTCTATGATTTCAGTTCCCTAATTTCCATTTTGAGATGATGCTTAGATGTGAAGACTGTTGGACATGGAAGGCACCATGATTAAAAATGACTTGATTTCCTCTAAACATGTTGTTTTCAACCAAATGGCACAGCCGCACAAAGAGCAGGGTCCATTCTGAGTAATGGTCCAAAGACAACTCTTTAACGTTCTCAAAACAACCTGCCTACACCAGCAGGCTACCCATAGAGGATTCTACAAAGAGTACATTTAGGGTTGAGACCAGAGCACGTGTCAGAGAAAAAAGAGGCAGTGCAGTGTGGAAATTATGTGAGCTTTGAATCTCCGTGACATCATTTACTTACTCTTTTCTTTAGCATTTTTCTTAATTCTCAAGGCCACTCATATGTAAGTATTAAACGTACGTCTTCTGGTACCTACTGACTCTTCTTCTAAAACAGGGATTGCCAAGCCTTTCTGAAAAGAACTAGACTGTATATATTTCAGCCTTTGTGAGCCACACCATCTCTGTCACAGCTACTCAGCTTGGGACACTGTAGTGAGAAGGCAGCTACAGACAAATGTAAATGACATGTATGGCCTGTTTATGAAAACATAAATCCAGCAGGCTGGATTTGGTCTGCAAGCCGATTTACAGACCCCTTTGTTGTAAGGAAGTATGCCAGCTTACCAACCGTGATCATTAGAATCTCAGCAGAGCAAAACAAATACTCAACCAAAAATGAAGTATTAATAGGTGAATCCAGGGGCACCTGGGTGGCTCAGCAGGTTGAGCATCCGACTCTTGGTTTCAGCTCAGGTCATGATCTCGTGGGTCATGGGAGCCAGCCCTGTATGGGGCTCTGCACTCTGCATGGAGTCTACTTGGGATTCTCTCTCCCTCCCCCTGCCCCTCCTGCTCAATGTTCTTTCTCAAATAAATAAATAAATAAATCTTTTTAAAAAATAGGTGGATCCAATTCAGACATCTACTTACTTATCTGATACTGTAATAGATAGCCAGTTAAGTTTCCATTCAATTTCTTAGGTAGTCCCCAGGTTAAAGTGGCAGTGTCTTTATCAACTTTGATGACCTTGAGAAAAGCTGGTTGTTCAGGTACTAGAAAACATAAGACCAAGAAGATAATTGGTAAATTTCTTTAAAAAAAAAAAGCTCCATTAGATTCCAGTTTTCCATAGAAATTGAGAAGCTAACTCATATGAAGTACATATTTATTAACTACTAATAAGGAGGTAAATGTTTAATTTGGCCATTGGATAATTCCCATTGTTGGCATTATTCTTCACTGTTATTCTTACCTCCTTCTGGTGTTTGAAATATATAAGGCTCACTCTCTGGACCAGCTCCTTTGGAATTATAGGCTAAGACTGTTAAGTGAAATTCACTGAAGGCATCTAGAGAAGGAACCATTCCATAGTTTCTTTGTCCTGAAAATCTCAGAATGTTTACTTCTTTGGGATGTGCTCTTCCATCCAACAGACTTTTTGTTTTCCACCAATTTATCTGCAATGGAAATAGGAATCCTTTAACATATCAACCGTGGTGGCAGATTCTCTTCTAGCTTCTTCTAAGATCAGTTCTTATTTGCATTTAAGATATTAATTCAGCAACAAGAAAATCTATGATAAAAACCTGATATCCTTTCAGATGTCCATGTACTCTGTCCTTTGGAATTGTTGACCAGGTAACTTTAACTAATGTGCTGTTTATAATGTCCACCCCATGGATCACCGGAGCTGTATCAGGATCTGTTAAGCACATAAGAATGACGAGCTTTCAATACCCTCAAATGTGATTATTAGGATCCTTTTCAAAAGGTGACTTTTCATATTGCTTAATCTGAGCACAGCACTCTTATGAAATCAATTCCAAATGGAACCAGGAGAGTTTCTCATTACAGAGGAGTTTCAGAGCCCAAATAGGTTTCTAGGAGGAGAGGATAGCTTATACCACACCGAGAAATGCAGTTTTCCAGGTGGATACAGTGTGGGCAGTGTAACTGGAACCATTGGCCAGTGAAATATTCCGTGGGCATCTTGCCTTTAGAAGCAGATGAACTAAACAATATAACCAAAATTACTTGAGAGCTTGATCAGTCCATTAAGAACAACGGCTAACATTAACTGAGCACATGCTATGTGTAGGCACTGTTCTGAGCAACTGGCTCACTGGACTGGCTCACATAATCCTTAGAACAACCCTATAAAGTGGTATTATCCCCATTCTATAGGGGAACTAACTACAGAGGAATAAACCAAATGCAGAGCAGCCAAGACTAATAATATCTTAGCTCACAGTGATATGCCCGGTGTAATTTTATTTGGGTAGAAGGATTTAGATAGCAGGTAAATAAGGAGTTAGTAATTTCACATTCTCAACCTGTTTCCATTCTTGGATCAAAATATCACCTTGGATACTGGAAAAACAATGAGAGTAACTCCTGTGTAGTGACAGGGAATACACCATCTTTCCTTTTTTTAATCTATTTGTGGCAGTTATTATGGTATAAGAATTTAATAATGAGCATACCACTAATACCTCAAAACAGTGTGTGTGTGTGTGTATGTGTGTGTCTGTGTGTGTGTGCATGCATGAGCGTGTGCATGTGTGTTTGTAATTCTATAGACAAATCTCAGTCTGTATCTCATCTGCATTAGGAAGGTTCCAAAAATATAACTGAGGCCAGGGACGACATCAGGTGGCTGTTAGAAAGTCTTTGACAAGTAAGGACAAATGTAACTGGAAACATTATGACAATTATGCTGCTTAACTATTTGTAGTGATGAGTACTGGTCTTTGATTTTTCATATAGAAATAGCTTTACTGGGAAACTGAATAAAATTAAAACTTTTAACATAATTCCTTATCACTCTATAATGATTGGCTATCCTGCAGTCAACCTTAAATTTCTTGTATCTCCCACAGCTAGTACATCCTCTTTGCATGCAGTAGTTGCTCAAAAATGGCATCAATAGAAATGCAATATATTTGAAAGAAATTGCTCTTGAAGTGCTTAGCAGTTTCAGGCACATCACTTACAGTCTTCTCCAGAATAGAGAATCACTGACTGAGGCTCAGGGCCAGAGCCAAGGTGATTGACGGCTTGGACTTGGACATCATAAGGAGCATAGACAGTAGGCGTCATCACCCGCAAGGTGTGGTTTGTGACGGTTTCTTCTTCCCACTCCACGGGGGCTCCCTGTGGCTTCCAGGTCACTCTGTACTCCAGTCCTGGTCCATTCTGCTCCATGGGTTTCAAAGGCTAGGACAGAAGGCAAGACTTATCTAGTGTGATCGCAGATATGCTGAGTCAGAGACGGTGGCAAGCCTCTCCAAATGGCAATAAGAAACACTACAATAGAGAGATCCTGTCTTGGAAGATTTTAAATCCCCCTCTTTGGTTTAGAAACACTTGTGAAAATTTTTTCTTTCTGTAAGTTTAGGTTTGAAAGTTAGTCCCTCCCCTCCCTAAGCAGTAAGAAGCCCACAATTTAGATGCCTTGATTATGCCCTTGTGATTAAATCTCACTGTTCATATATGAAAGAATTTACTAAGAAATTCCACAGAGGATTTTTGCTTTTGTCTATGCTTTCCTCTATACTCTACTTTTTTACTCCCAAAGAACTGGAAGATACAGAAAGGACATGATCATGAATTGTATGGTTGTGAAAGAGATTTCCCATGACTTTTCAATCAGAACTCTTTCTATCTGATTCCATCCATCCTTCCCCATCTGCCTTCCAAAAGAAGAGAGAGATTGAGTAAACCTTTATTTCTGGATAATATGCGTGTTATACATTAGTGCCTAGAAGATATAGCTCCTCTCTCTAATAAAATAATTCCCCAGCTTCTTGACTATTTCTTTAAGAGAGAGTCCTCCCCACCCCGCAACCCCATCCCCACTTCCACTTTCTTTTGCTGGATAGGAAAATTTAGTGAAGGAATTTCTAGTATAGGGAATTGGTTATTTCCACTTTAGTTTTTTTTAGTTAAGCAATATTTTAATTAAAAAATTAATGTGATTTAAATCACCTGTTTCATTTCAAAAACGGGAATATGCATTCAAATGAATCATATATAGACTACATAAAAAAATGTGACTTAAGTCCTAGATTATAAGGTTCACCTATATAAACAGTAATTTTGTCTATATATATATATATATATATAAAGTAATTCAATAATACCATATATATCGGGGAGCCTGGGTGACTTAGTTGGTTAAGCATCAGACTCTTGATATCCACTCAGGTCATGTTTTCAGGGTCGTGAGATAGCCCTGCACCGGGCTCTGCGCTGGGGGTGTGGAGCCTGCTTAAGATTCTCTCTCTCCCTCTGGCCCTCCTCCTACTGCTTGCTCTCTCTCTCTCAAAATAATAATAAAATGAAATGAAATAAACAAAATAAAATAAATAAAATAAAATAAAATAATGTCATATACAATGTTTTCTTACAGAATTTTCAATGCTTCTTGACTCAATCTAACTTAGTAAAATATTTTTAGATGGACTGGTTGGAATTAGGTTGAAAGTAATGCTGTATCAGGAAAACAATTTCAAGTCTATGCTAACTCCAAGGTGAATATTTAAATTAGCTACGAGAAAAAAAATCAGAACAAAACCTTTCTGAGATTTCACAACCATTATTTATACTTTGCATTCTAAGTTTTGCACCAAGATAATTTTCACTACCATACAAATATAAATCCACCAGGGCCTTTAGCAGTGCCCAGATGAATCAGGCCACAAGCTTTTAGTTTCATACTGCAATCTGGAATTACAATTTCCTTCAGTCTCTACCAACAATAAATGAGTACAAATAAAATTATTCAATTTACACATGTTTTGTTCCAAGGAAAGGAGCTACATTTAATAAAGCTCTCCTGTAAATTTTAAAATAAAACTGCCACCATAATTAACACTTTTAAGAAAAATCTTATCTAAATTACCAGGCCCTTTGGTGCCTCGACTCCAGAAGAAACAGCAGGAGAATTTTGTATTTGCTTTCAGACAATGGGCAACAAAACCACAGCAAATTCTTAAACAGGCCCCCAACAAAGATAGCAGACCAGAGGAGCCAAAGCAGAGGTGGGAGTGGGGGTCTTCTTTTCATCACTGACTGAGCGCATGACATCTGGGGAAGGTCATTAAAATGAGAGTCCCAGCTCTCTCTATGAAATGTACGGCTGATACCATCCAGCTCCTGTCTCCCTTCTGAAGGAGTGCTGAGGATTAATGAGCTGATGTTGGTGGAACATGGTGTGCTTCTCTGAGGAACTGACCTGATAATTACATACTATTATTTTCAGCTAACCAGTTATATCATCTATCTTATGGAAATTGCTAGGGAACTTAAGAGAGAAAAAGACAGATACTCTACAAGAATGAGATAGTAACATAATTTCAGATTATAAATTAAGCAATTATGAAGACAATGTGGTAGCAAATATGTGTGGCCACAAATTCAAGGAAAGAAATGATATTCTTGAATATACTTAGATTCTGTGTATTACCAATTTTTTTCCAATTTTAAATTTGCAAAACTTAATTTCACTGAAGTGGGAAAAGTGGGTTAGTGTTGATATAAAATATTGAGTGAAAAAAATCAGACTAAACTTTATACATCCTAAAATTCTTCCCAAAATCATATCTGGAAAGAGGTTTAGAAATGAATTAGTGTATTGCTGCATAAATTCAAAAATGTTCTACATTTGGGGCGCCTGGGTGGCTCAGTCGTTAAGCAACTGCCTTCAGCTCAGGTCATGATCCCAGGGTCCTGGGATCGAGCCCCACATCGGGCTCCCTGCTCAGCGGGGAGCCTGCTTCTCCCTCCCCCACCCCCCTGCTTGTGTTCCCTCTCTCGCTGTGTCTCTCTCTGTCAAATAAATAATATGTAAAATTCAATGAATTTAAGGTTGGAAGTCTATTATTAATCAGACTGTCTGAATGGTAATCTATATTCAAGTAGGTTAAATTATTTGTTCACGAATATGTCCACATAGAGGGGGGAGAAAGTTACCCACTGTTACAGAAGGAATTTAGAAATGACACTCAAAACAATTAAAGTTCTCTGAACAGATATAAAATTTTACACCAAATTCAAAGACAAAAGTCTATTTCATAACCTTTAATAGAAATATGTAAAGGGGTGAAAAGTGCAATTTGAAGTCCAAAGATACTTATGGTAGGTTTGTTGATTTCTAGTGGTATTTTAGTGGTATGGTGACAGGCAAGACTGCCTACCACCCTGTCCTCAGTTCCTATATCTAGAAAAAGGCAATAATGACAAAGCTGTTCTCAGAAAAGAGCATACAGAATGCTTAATAATGCTTAAAAGGAGCGGCTATTTATTTGTCAGCCATCCTTCTGATATGCATAATATTTATTAGACCATGTACTAAAATTTAGGAAAGTTTTTCAGTATTTTTTGAACAAGAGATGATTTAGAATATTGGTTGTAAAAATACTAGGAATCTGAAACTTTTGATAATGGATTGCAATTAAATCAACCTGTAAAACCTTCCTTACATTATTTACCACTGTTTAACTATATCTCATAACATTCTAATCACAATGATCTATAAAATAGACAAATGAAATATATTTATAAAACATACAAATCTTATATCTTTGTTCTTAAAAAATATTTTTCTATCATTACACTTAGCATGCAGACCTAAAAGAAAGAAAAAAAGAACACAAAGTAGTGTATAACACATTAGAGAATACACACCTCCCATTTTATAATCATTTCCTTGGGTTGAGAGGCTTGAACCCTTATGTTTTGTGGATTCTTGTCTGGAGCTGAAAAATTTTAAGTATTAAAATTACTTTTTGCAATTTTATGGTCCATAGGTAAATCAGCACATCATCCCACCACCCCCTAAATCAGATTTTTAAATAACTTTGATTGTATTCATTTATTTCTATCTGGCCCAGTTTGTAAAGACTTTTCACCAGCTTTATTGAGAGACAATTGACATAAAACACTGTGTAAGTTTAAGGTATACAATGTAATAGTTTCATATATGTGTGTGTTTATAGATCTGTGTGTGTGTATATATCTCCAATCTATAGATAGACATTTTATATTTATGTGTATATATTGTAAAATGATTACCACCATAAGGCTAGTTAACACATCCATGGCCTCACAAAGGCAGCATTTAAATATATATTTTATTTAAAGGAGTAAAATCATATGCATGAAGTGATACTATTATTATTCAATGGGAAGTAGATTTACTTTAGATATCTTCATTTTAAAACTGCTCTTTAAATTTTTCAACCTGCTTTTTTAAAAACAATCCTAAACCTACTTTTTTTTTAATCCTTTCTCTTTTTTTTTAAAGATTTTATTTATTTATTTGACAGATTGAGAGAGGGGGACAACTAGAGAGGGAACATAAGCAGGGGGAGTAGAAGAGGGAGAAGCAGGCTCCTGGCTGAGCAGGAAGCCAGATGCAGGGCTCGATCCCAGGACCCTGGGATCATGACCTGAGCTGAAGGCAGACGCTTAACGACTGAGACACCCAGGTGCCCCCTAAACCTACTTTTTAAATATACATTTTAATTTTAAACCTGCTTTCCTTTTTCTATTAGAATTATTGTTAGAAATGTGTGTTGTGAACATCTGCCACTAAGCTAATAAAATTAAACATCACATGTATTAATTTCAACAGCTAACTATTATGGACAACAAAAAGGTAACAGCAGATAATGTGCCCGTGAAATATATTCAAATGGATCCATTTAATAAGAAAGGGCTAAGTGTAGTTTTACTGCCAAATGCAACTTACATTTCAATCACACAAGTATCTGATTCAGTCACTATCTCTTCTTGTTTTCTCCTCAATCCAAAATGGAAATTATACCCTAGCTTATTTATTTTGCCCCAGGGAAAAAAAACAATAATACCATGCTATGATCACACTGTTGACCAATGACAATTAAGTAATAACACAAGTTTTAGTATTAATCATTCTTGAGATTTAAAAAAAATTCTAGAAATTTAGATAGATATCAGATATCTATTTAGATATTAAGAAACAATAAATATAGTAAATGTATAAAAGTAATGATATGAAATAATTAAGGTGCCTACAATGAATGTTTTATTTCAGAAAGTTGAATAAAAAGAAAAATAAAGGGAGAAAGCTGATTTTCTATATATTGAACCTCAGTTTATAACATATTTGATATCTGATTTTAACATGATACTTATCTATCACAAATAACTCAGAGTAATGTTACCTCCCTGTAATCTCCTGCTCTCTATCAAACATATATACTACTTATGAATCTGATGTACTTTGAATATTTGTGTGCTGTCAGTTCATAGAACTTTTCAAGCTCTCTAGGAGAAGAAATCGAAAACCCTACACCTTCGGCGCCTGGGTGACTCAGTCGGTTAAGCGCCTGCCTTCAGCTAGGTTCATGATCCCAGGGTCCTGGGATCCAGTCCTGAGTAGGGAATCCCTGCTCAGTGGGGAGTCTGCTTCTCCCTCTACCCCTCCCCCCTGCTCATGATCTCTCTCCCGCTCTCTCTCTCTCTCAGATAAATAAAATCTTTAAAATATGAAAAAAATATAACCCTATACCACACTATCAATCTTTTTCTAAAGATGTTGAAAGATGGAGAAAACTAAAATATTTTCTCAGAAAATATGAGAAGCCACATACCTGCCGGAGGTGTTTCATGATGGTCCGACGGCTGGCTGGGTTGGCTTCTCCCTACTTCATTCACGGCTATGACCCTGAACTGGTATCTGACGTATGGAGCCAAAGATAGTGTGACTATTGTTTCTTTGCCTTGGACTCTAGCCAATTCCTCCCATCGACCAGGTTCTTCTTTATTTCCTTCAAATTCAACAATATACTCTGGCCGTAGAAAGTAGAAGCATAGAGCGGAAAAAAGATCAAAAACATTAGAATGGATTTAGTATTTTTAAGTTACACTAACATTTACACACAGTATAAAAAGTTTTAAAGGATGTTTTAAGAAGGATTATCTAGCAACTGTGGTAAAAAAAAAAAAAAAGGCTTGAATATTAATTTTGACTCAGGAGTGTAAGGAGCATAATTATCCCAAGTCCTCCCTACCGCTAATATGGCTATTGTGGTCATCTCCAGCTTCCCACGTCAGCCGAACACTCCTGTTCTGTCTTTCAGACAATTGTAGGTTCTCTGGTGGATCCGGAACATCTAATTAATAATAAAAATAAAAGTAGGGAGAATGCAGACCATGCCTTTGTAACCCCATTTCCTCACCAAGGCACATTGCCACCCCCTTTCTCTCTGGGCTCTGGTCTCCAGGTCCAATCATCCACATCTCAGCAGACCTTCTGGCTTTTTTTTTTTTTTTAAGATTTTATTTATTTATTAGAGAGAGAGAGAGCACAAGCTGGGGGAGAGGCAGAGAGAGAGAGAGAGAGAGATACTGGCTCCCCATGGAGCAGGGAGACCGACACGGGGCTTGATCCCAGGACCCAAGGATCATGACCCAAGCCAAAGGCAGACACCCAACTAACTGAGCCACCCAGGTGCCCCAACCATTCTGGATCTATTTCAAATGCAGCTTCAGGCACATCTACTCCCTTCTGTAATATTCTCACCCTCTACTCTGATTCCAGTTCTCAAAGGGTATCCTTGACCATGGGTATCAAAATTCTTTTAGGAGTAGTTATTAGCAATGAAGATTTGGGGAGCCTGGGTGGTGCATTTGGTTGGACAACCGACTTGGTTTCAGCTCAGGTCATGATCTCAGGGTCATGAGATTGAGCTCCGCCCCGTGCTCAGCATGGAGTCCACTTAAGTTTCTCTTTCCCTTTCCTTCTGCCCCTCCCCCTGCTCTCTCTCTCTCTCCCTTTCTAAAAATAAATAAATAAATCTTTAAAAATAAATGAAGATTGGGGCGCCTGGGTGGCTCAGTCGTTAAGCGTCTGCCTTCGGCTCAGGTCATGATCCCAGGGTCCTGGGATCGAGCCCTGCATCAGGCTCCCTGCTCTGCAGGAAGCCTGCTTCTCCTTCTCCCACTCCCCCTGCTTGTGTTCCCTCTCTCTCTGTGTCTCTCTCCGTCAAATAAATAAATAAAATCTTTAAAAATAAATAAATAAATAAATAAATAAAAATAAATGAAGATTTATTTCTGGACCCTATATCTCTCTGGCATACTGAAGGAGCTGGGCCCAGGAATCTGCATTTCTAAACAATTGCCCTGGGTTATAATTATGCACAATTTTGAGAAACGTGATCTACCTCAAGTAGATCCGTGTCTTTCAGCTCATATGCTTATTTATATGCCTGATTCATTTCCTGTATATGACAGATCTTCAAGAGTAGGACTGCATTTCATTAATATTTGCATCACCAACAGTGCTTTGCATATAAATGTTTTGTGACTAAATGAATAAGTGAATAGTATATTATCACTTCAATCATGCATGTAATTACCATATTAGAGCAATAAAATTAGGTCCTATGACTATAGGAAAATAAGATAAAGAACATGAACTCAGGCTTTCTTTTCTGCATGCTTTGGATTTTTATTGTAATTTCTAACAATGAATTCTCAGTACATTATAGCAACTTTTATACTCTCTTGGCCTAGAGTTTTGAAAGAGTAGGAAGGCAGTTTATATTGGAAGAGAAAAATTTGGCACTGATAAATATTGTGTCAGAAACTAGAAAACTGAGTAGGTGATGACTTTTTTTAAGTTTTTATTTAAATTGCTGTTAGCTAACATACAATGTAATATTCGTTTCAGGTGTACAAAATAGTGACTCAATACTTCTATACATCACAACCAGTGCACTCCTTAATCCCCTTCACCTATTTGACCCATTCCTCCCACCCACTTCCCTTCTGGTAACCATCAGCTTGTCCTCTATAGTTAAAAGTCTGTTTCTTGGTTTGCCTCTCTTTTTTTCCCCCTTTGCTTTGTTTTGTTTCTTAAATTCCACATATGAATGAAAAGATATGGTATGTCTTTCTCTGACTTATTTTGCTTAACATAATACTCTCTAGCCCACCCATGTTGCTGCAAATGGCAACATTTCATTCCTTTTTATGGCTGAGTAATTATATGTATGTATATGTACACGTACACACACACACACACACACTACTTCCTTTTTATCCATTGATCAGTTGATGGACACTTGGGTGCATGTATACTTTTAATGTAGTATTTTTGTATTCTTTGGGTAAATACCTACTAGTGTGATTGCTGGATTGTAGGATAGCTCTATTTTTAGCTTTTTGAGGAATCTCCATACTGTTTTCCACAGTGGCTGTACCAGTTTGCATTCCCACTAATAGAGCAAGAGAGTTCCCCTTTCTCCACATCCTTGCCAACACCTGTTGTGTCTTGTGTTGTTGGTTTAGCCATTCTGACATGTGTGAGGTGATATCTCATTGTAGTTTTGATTTGCATTTCCCTGATGATGAGTGATGTTGAGCATCCTTTCATGTGTCTATTGGCCATCTGTATGTCTTCTTTGGAAAACTGTATATTTATGTCTTCTGCCCATTTTTTTAACTGGATTATTCAGTTTTGGGGTGTTGAGTTTTGTAAGTTCTTTATATATTTTGGATTCCAAGTAGGTGATGACTTTAAGAGTGTTAAGAGTTTCCATGGAAATTTTTATTAAAATAAAAGCAACTGTAAAACAAAACAAACAAACAAAGAAAACATATCCCTAATGGTCTTTACTTCCAAAATTTGGTTTCAATGCTCTCTTGTATTCAGGGACATTTATCTTTTCTCAGAGGAGATAATTAAGTAATATCTCATAGGGCCTTCCCATGGGTTCTTTATTCTCCAAGTGGGAAGCAACATCTATCACCCATGCTGAGTACTTGCCGACTGCTGGAAATTTACATTGGCAAAAAATACATTGTTTTAAAATGTGGTCACTGACTGTGCATAAACTTTAGGGCCTTAAATAAGAAATTATTTCCTCAACAGTTCTCAGATCTGTGAACTCAGAGAATTTACATTTGTCTTCAGCACTGAAGAGCTCACGCATTTTTAAACTTACCTGAAGGAACCAATACAGCCTGTAGCATCTGACATTAAAATGTGCTTTTTCCAAGAATATGGAACTAAGCTGATGGGCTGCATTGATACTTAAAAGACTGGTACTCTTAAAGGACAGTTACTTCTAATTGAAATGGGTCAAGCATATGTTTGCAAAAATTGTTTTCTCAGGAAAAGGGGTTTTTATAGAAACTACACAGGGATCTAGTTGTTATTGTCCGTTAGTGAGATACACTTCCTAAGACCAAGGATTGGTCTAAAAAATTAGAAGGCAAACTCCTAGAAGTGGTTAAGAAAATGAAATCTGTGTCATAGAATATTTTTAAATTAATTTACTTTTATTCTTAAAAAATTGGTAAAAAAAACTTCATATGTAAATATTACATACAATCATAGCAACTATTTATTTAAAATTATCAAAATTTAATGGTTCTAGAAGATGGTAGCCTAATCACAAGACTGAAATATTAAATTTTACAAGGCAATTTGACAGCATGAACCAAGCAGTAGGGAGCCCAATCCCTTTGCTGGCTCCACAGCTCAAAATATTGAGGAACAAAGTCTATGGATCCTGAGACTTACCCCTACATTTGTGGTGGCCTGGAATAAACTCCAGTGTTACCTGAAGCTCCACTATTTTATCTGGTGACTTACTAGTGAAATAATTCCTAGAGGGTGGAAACTTTCTGTTTGTAGTCCCCTAAGTAGCTGAATTGCTATGGCCAAACATCTCACCTAAAGGTACAATTCTATCGAACCACGCCCATTCCCTCTACTACCTGGGCACTCCGTGTGTGTGTGTGTGTGTGTGTGTGAGTGTGTGTGACTACCTGGGCACTCCGTGTGTGTGTGTGTGAGTGTGTGTGTATAGAACCCAGTCTGGTGACCATTTGCTTCACCTGAAGAGCTCCATCGTGTTTACTCATTTTTCACATCCAACCTCCAAAGAAACTGAATTATTTCCTCTCAGCCTGTACTTCTGTTAGCAACCTACCTGTGGATCCCAGCAACCAGAGAGCTAAAGATACAAACACCTGTTAATAATAATGATTAATCTACACATCTAATAAAGGAGTTTAGGCAAAATCAAACACTTTCAAAAAATATCAGAAAACTAAAAGAAAGACTAAATGGTGCCCACGGAAACAAAATTATTAGAGAAAACTATAAAAAAAAGTTTCTATCAACCAGGGTCCCAGCAGAAATTAAACAGTTCACACAATTTGGATAGTACCAAGAGTTGTTGTTGTTGTTGTTGTTTTTTCAAAGGATCATTGGCAGAATACCTGGGGTGGGGGTGGAGGGAGCAGTTAACAGAATCTTATCAGGAAGGATTTTGTGAAGAGATCCTCCCTGGGAGAAATCAATGACTTTGGACACAGCCTGCAGGGAGGGAATTTGGAGAATAAACACACCCACCCACCCATCCTCCTCTATTTCCAGGGCTCCCCACTGGCGGAATCAAATGGAAGTTTGAGTGTGAGTGGTTTGTTGGTGTTGTCCGCATCGCTCAGGTTTCCATATCAGAGAGGTTGTGGAGAGTGAATCTGGCAAGGGAACTGAAGGAGAGATGGTCTAGGAGATGGTTTCAGAGCTAATGGTGGTCTAAGAGATGCTCCAGGCTGGTCTAAGAGGTTTAAAGATGGGTGATTGCAGAGCTAATTGTGTTGATTACACTAGTGAACTATGCAAAGCATTTCCTAATTAGCATTATCATAAAAAAAAAAATCAACGGCATTCCTTTGCAGAACTCTTGAACTCTGCTCCCTTCCTGGAACACTGAGAACTCAGTCTGAGTCTCTGGTTTAGAGCATGACCACTGAGCCACCACCACGGGAGGCCCAGCCTGATCCCCCCAGCCTAACCCATCTCCATTCCTCAGCTCTATTTCTGTGCATGCTAGGAAAGGGCAGCTCGAGTGCCCTGACAACTCGAGCATGCTTCAGTTTTCTTTCTGCTGATAACATTGCCTACCTCCCACGGCTATTGGCAACATTACCCATGCAGTGAAAAGAAATTAAGCATTAATTAATTTCTTTAAAGCCAGAAGAGGAGAAAGCATTTGAAAGTGGAATGACTATTTAAATGAAAAATTCAAACGAACAGTATATGTGCAGGAACTCAAATAATTGTTGATTTAACGGCCTAAGAACAATGGAATTTAATCAGTGATGGGGAAGAAATGAACAGAGATTTCTCGTTAGTGCACTTACCGAGGACAGTTACTTGAGTTACATCAGTAACACTATCCAGAGCAGTTTGAGCTGAACAGGAGTAAATACCTTGATCCTCTAAGGTGACATTAGATATCGTCAAATTAGCTCCATCAATAATTATCCTACCAGTAAAAAAATTGAGTACACAATGAGGATGAAAACAACAGAAACCTATATGCAAAAATATATATTCCCCATAGGAGAAAAAATTCAAAAGTCAACAAAACAAAACACAGCTTCACATGATGCAAATTTTATTGGTGCTACAGTTGAAACTGGAGATGAAATGTCACTTGAACGACTGTCTACACAGCCATGAAAGCTATCAGTTGGTTTGGTTTTGTTTTAATTACCAAGTCCAGCCATCTGTGATGCATGGGTCAGTGATAGAACTGTGTTGCCTGGTGTTTCTAATGACTGTACTATGTTATAATAGTTAAGATACATTTGGATAATTCTTAAGGTTTGTTAAGGGAATCACCTACATAGGATCAACTGGGGTGCTTCTTACAAAGGCACATTCCTGAATCACGCCCACATCTACAGAGCCAAACTGACCTGGAGTCTGGTAATCTGTGTTTTTGACAAGGGTCCTTTTTCTCCACCCCTCTACTTCACATGTAGAATGACCATCTGATAAATCTGGTAACAATTGCACTGGGATTTATTTGAACAGTAGAGGGCAGACTAGTACCGCTTTTTTTGCAAATCACTGGCCACTGGCTTTTTATCATTTGTTCTATTTTGCCAATTTGTAATCCAGTTTAGGACACGAAAATTTCTTTACTATAAATTATACCTTTTACCCTATATCTATGTATTGTCAACTTAACTATTTAAGCACTTTTAGGAAAATTAAGTTCCACTAAATTGAAATATATTTACAACAGTTTGCTATGTAGTTGAAATAAATAATGTCCTTGTGGAAAGGGACTTATATGATTGACATTTCTGATGTATAACTCACTTAACCTCTTCGGCCCCCTGCCTACCTACCAATAAGAAGTTGTCCCAGCAGAACGTGAAAGACAGGAGCGTACTAATGGTTAGCAGGTACCTGTGATCTCAGCTCCCTGCTAGAATTCCATGCCCGCTCCGGGCCGCAGTCAACCCCAGCAGCAAGTGTTACTCCCAGCCTTCCCCACACCAGAGATCTCTTCTAAGAGATTCTAGCTAAGGTTACTGTTCCTCACCCCTACCCTAGGGAAAACTGGCAGAACATCTGTGTCACTTGCTTAGTTCACTGAGATAGAGGTTCATTTGAGTGTCAGCCCTAGGAGCCTACAGAAACTATTCAACTGGGCCACACAGAAGATGTTTGGAGTTTCTGGGATCAGGGCCTAAACATGCAGGTCCCATCACCAACTAGGCACCAGTCTCTGATTCCCTTTTTGGCTGTAGCCCAGAGGTCATATGCAAGACCCCAGGCAACTAGGCAGTAGTGACAAAAGAGGGAGAATATGGAGAGATCCCAGCAGTTGATAGATCGCCTTAAGACCTAACCTGAGGGTGAAGATCTCTGTTGCAATGTGTAGTCTTTTAGGTCCATAATTAATCTCCTCTTGTCTCAGTGACAACTAGTTGTTAATACATACGCTCCTTTCCACAAACTCTTATGTATACAGGAGGGATGAGATGGAATCAATTAAGTACTCAGCCGAGACCAAAGCCCCTGCACGGAGGTGGTGCAAGCACATGCTTGCACACACAATAGGGGACAAGCAGGTGCGAGAAATGAGAGAAGCCATTAAATGTCTGCAGACATTAGTACAAATCATGAGACCTAAACTGGACTGAGTACTTCGTGTTTTCTAAGTGCTAGGTATGTTGACTCATCAATAACCCCATGAAAGTATCTCTGAATGTAAAATTAAGGCACAGAGAAGCTATGCAGCTGGTCTAAAGTCATAGACATAAGAAGTGACCAAAGTGAGATTTAAATCCAGGCCACTGGACTCAAGTCCATGCTCTTAATTACCACGCTGCCACAGTCTCACCAAAGGAATGCATGTTCTACCTTCAGATTTATTTTTTCAGAATGACGAATAACAACATAAAACTGCAGGTGAGATTTGGCTAAGGATGGTCTATTTCTAACCCCTACTTAGTCACAATGCAAAAGACGAGGGAGCTAACCTCTGTATGCTTTCAAAGGATAGCACAGGCATTCAGTAAATATTGATTCTTTTCTCTTTCTCTGATATACTTAATACTGTCTAATGCTAGTCAGCATCTTTTCACAATTCCTTCCACATTCTCTCTTCTATGTTTTTTTCTGTGTTCTCCATACGGAGATTAGGAGGCTTAACAGTGTATTTGTCAATACTTTCTAACTGGAAGGACTGGCGGTATGACTCAGGTTCTGCCCATTCATGAGATAGACTCATCAGAGTTTGGGATGGAAACGGGTGACAGGCAGGGTCCCCTCTGGGGCCATGTGAGCAGATATGCTTCACACACCTGGAGGGGGCTCTGTTTCATGCGCTAACAGAAGGGCACACATTCTATAAAAAGTCAGCAGCAAAAAGCAGCAGCTAACCATGGGAGAGAAAAGTGAAACCCTGCACTGCATTACCTTTTAAATCCTGCCGTGAAGACTGAAATGTATTAATCACTTTTTGTATTTTACTTCCATGTGAACACATTTACAACTATTTTTTGCAAGTGCTCAGTGTTGATCCCAAGCCAGGACGACGACAGAGCATAACCCCTTCCCTACCTGCCATCCTCTGTGGCATTAATTTCAAAAGCTTCTCCATTCTTACTCCAGGACAACTTCAAACTCTGCTTCAAATGTGGGTCACACGTGCTCTCACAATGTAATTCAAGCACGTGCAGTCTGGGGACGCGAGGATTCTTAGGAGCAACTTGAAGTTTTGTAGCATCTGTTTTTAAGCAAACAAAGAGACTAGTGAGACGCTTACATCCCAGCTTACTTGGCAATCAGGTGCCTGCGATTTAATCAACCCCAGTTGTCGATGGAACAGTCTTATCTTCACGCAGTGTTTGTCACGCTGTAATTTCCTGACATCATGTTTCATTACCATTTTCTTTCCATCAGGCCTGGACCTCTGAGGAATTAGGGTGGAAGTACCAATTAATATCTTAGAAGTTCCCCTTACTACCTCTTGGGCAAAGGGAGTAAGAAGAGTGGGAGCCAACAAATGTCTTTAGAGGTTGAAAAAATATAATTTCCCTTTCTAGTGCTTCTGGTCATGTGATCACACCACCATAAGGAGAAAAAAAGGAAATTAACTGATTTTCTATTAATGTGTTTATTAATAATTCAGAAACTGGGGGTTAAATGGTAAAGCCCATGCAAGGTGATCTATCAACATGAAGGTGGGAAATTAGAACTTAAGCCCGGTGAAGAAGAGGCTGTGTCTGTTTTGTTACATTAAGTATCCGCACAGCCCAGAAGGGACCCTGTATACAGGAAGCACTTAACACATATTTCTTGAAATTCTTGTTGAATGAGGTATAGTGAGTGATATTTTAAAAGTAAATTAGTGGTACCCATAATATGAAGCTCAAAAATTTAGCTTCAAATTCAAATATATCAAATAAATTAAATTCAATTTCAAATCAAATGAATTAAAAAGAATCACATTTGGCTGTCTTTAAAATGTCTGCTCATTACGGCTGTTTCAAAATATAGGATCCTTACTCTTAGAGGCCATATTAAGGGTAGATGTACTTTACTCCACTGTACCACTTGGTGACCCTCTCAGAGGCCAAATCTCATGAGCTGACCTCTAATTCCACAATACGTTTTAATATTCACTATCTACATGTTACTACACGAACTGATTAAAAATTGAAAGTGATAGGGGCGCCTGGGTGGCTCAGTCATTGAGCGTCTGCCTTCGGCTCAGGTCATGATCCCAGGGTCCTGGGATCGAGCCCTGCGTCAGGGTCCTGGGATCGAGCCCTGCGTTGGGCTCCTACTCAGCGGGAAGCCTGCTTCTCCCTCTCCCTCTCCCCCTGCTTGTGTTCCCTCTCTCACTACGTCTCTCTCTGTCAAATAAATAAACAGAATCTTAAAAAAATTGAAAGTGATAAAAAAAAGATCGTTCGGTATCCTAAGCATGAAACTTGAAGAGATTATTGAATTAATTGTAAGTGAATTATTAAATATCTACTCCTATTTCTAAATTTAAAGCCAGAGGTCCACTTAATAATAATAGATACCATTTAATAAAGCCCTTATTCTATTGACCAGGACCTCTGCTAGGAAGTTCATGGTCACATAACAGTTTATAATTATAATAATTCTACAAATATTAATATTTTCACCTTACAGAGAACATAAGGCTAAAATGAAATTAAGTAACACCAAAGTTTCCCAACTGGTAAGGGGTTGAGCTGGAATCTGAACCTAAGTTTGGCAGAGACCAAAGCTCTTGCTTTCAAACACTATGCAATATAGCCTCTTACTCAATTTCTTTTTTTATATGCAAAAATTGTGGTTTTATCCTTCACTGATAAGATTCCTACATATGCCTTACATATAAAGTGGGTGTTTAGAGCAGATGAAAAGTTCATGACCCTGTCCATCCCTTTATCAATTACAGTTCTGGGCCAAGGGCTGTGTAGGGCAATAGGAAGGTGAAGGTTCATTCGGATTCCAGGCTTCCCTCTCTTTGATATAGGTTGGTTGTATAAAGAATAAAAAGAATCATCGTCACATACTTCACAAGGGCATTTTGAAAATTGTCCATGACACATAAACACCCGGGCAGACGTGAGAGTTAAGCAGACATATGAAGAGAATATCTATGTGCTTTAAAAATACAGTCCACACAACATAATAAAATAAAATTAAAAAAAAAATACAGTCCATGGGGTTGGCATGTTGCACTTAGGGTACAAAAAAAACCAAATACTGTAAAAGAATATAAGACAGAAGAAAAACAAGGAAGGGAGAGTATGTATGTGAAGAGAGAGAGAAATATCAGGATATCCATGAAAACGATGATTCAACAAATATACTTGTCATCTAAGTAGCAGCAGTGTAGGCTATGATAATGACATGTCACATGCAATATAGATCCTCCCTACAGTCACTGTAGGATCTCTCTATTATGTTTTCCTGAAAAGGATTTTCGGAGCAATTTTAAAACCAAAATACTAGGGCGCCTGGGTGGCTCAGTTGGTTAGGCGACTGCCTTCGGCTCAGGTCATGATCTTGGAGTCCCGGGATCGAGTCCCGCATCGGGCTCCCTGCTCAGCGGTGAGTCTGCTTCTCCCTCTGACCCTCCCCTCTCTCATGCTCTCTCTATCTCATTCTCTCTCTCAAATAAATAAATAAAATCTTTAAAAAAAAAAAAACCAAAAAACCAAAATACTAGTGAAACCCAAGACTTTGTTCTGAAGAGAGAAAAAAATGCAAAGCGGTTTATGATGCAAAAAGAGGATAAAAAAATCTTCTGTCCTGTCATGCCCCAGTCTTTATGAAGCTGAACTTTTATGGGTTTGCGAAATTTTTAGCTCCAAGAGTTGATTGCTGATGACTTTATGTTGAGTTGGTTACTGAAATAAAATACAGTCACAGAAACATCCCAAAATAGAGCATTTTAAATTATTGCCAGTCATCCTCCAAATACCTAAGTCCCTCTTAAAATTGTAAAAAGCCATGAACACATCATCAGCACATCCTATAATTTTTGTGACAGTCTTTTCGATAAAACACAATCTGGGAGCTTAGAAATACAGTCTAAGAGCTTTAACAGGCACTCAATAAATCATATTGTCTTATTTGGGAAAATGAAGACAAACTAAACCCATGTGAGAATTCATGCAAAGTAAAACCAAAATAAAAATACTTCTAATATCCAAGTTGGCTGTGACTGCGGTTTTTCCTTTAGCATTTTCTACCCAACAAGAGTATGAGCCAGCATCATCTTCTGTGGTTTTGTTGATCTGCAATGTGCCATTTTCATGGACATGGTACCGTCTACCTTCAAGAGGTTTCGCCTCTTCCACCTTCTGCCTATGAACACAGAAAACATAAATCAATTTTAGACGTGACAGAACTGTAGACGCTTCCTGAAACTGGTTGCTGATGTCATTCAAGCTTACCCTTTCTTCAGGAGCTCTGCAGACCTTATGAAATGTTCCATTGGCGTTTATGTTTTTCTGAGAATGGGTCCTAGCCGAGGTGCATATCTGATCTGCCCAGACAGACTGTGACTAGAGGAAATCCAGGTCTGTGCTCTATGCTTCTGCTGTATTTCTCGTAGCTATAAGGACCATTTTTGCATCTGTCCTCACAGCTTAATAAATATTTTCTGGTGTATTGATGGTGAACTCTTTAGTTAATGATCGCTTCAGGGTACTAAATGGGAAAGCTAGTAATTGAAAGAGATAATGAACCTTCTGAACCTCCTGCCGTCCTGGGGGAACACTGGTCATTCAGAAATATTACAGGGCCGGGAAGTAGTTCCTGTCCCGTGGACATGGATTACATTTGCCCTTATCAACCCAGAGTCATTTTCTCCTACATTCATCCATTTTCTGAGCATTTGCTGCCAAAGCTTGATTTACCCAGTACATTTCACAATAAGAGGCTCTGCTAGAACAACAATAACAAAAAAAATTCAAAGGGTAAACTCTGGCTGCCATTCACATGGGACTTTCTAGAGCTTGGGACTAGGGCAAGGCCAGTGAGGCACTTGCCTCAGAGGTAAAATGTAAGGATTGCCAAAAAATCTCAGGACTCAAGATAAATAATATTTTAATGGAGTTTTTTTTAAAAATAAAAAACACAAAAAAAAATCCACGATAAGCAAAATATCCAATTTTTAAATAAAGACAGGATCTGACCCTACCCTTGCCTGACCCTGCCTCCCCCTCCTCACTCTAATCTCAGCCCTGCAGAGCCATGGCAGACTTATTTAAGAACAGTTCATCCAAGCTTTTCTGGTGAAGTAACAAATATGGCAGATCCACACGAGGTGTCTGGACTTATTACACCAATAGATATATTGAAATTAAATTCAAAATACATGTTGGAAAAGTTTTAAGCATGTGTTTGGAATCAAATGCATGCTTAGACAATTGTTTAGAAAAGACCCAAAACAACAAAAAAAAGTACAGTTAAGTCTGAACAACATGGGTGTGAACTGCCGGGTCCACTTGTATATGAATTGTTTTCAATAAATATATTGGAGAAATTTTTGGAAATATACAATAACTTAAAAGAACTCACAAACTGTGTAGCCTAGAAATATGGAAAAACATTTAAGAAAAAGATAGCTATTATTACAAAAATAAAGCATGTGATACATATAACATCCTAAATGTGTGTTAATCAACTATTTATGTTATGGGTGAGGCTTCTGGTCAACTGTAGGCTATTAGTAGTTAAGTTTTGAGGGAGACAAAAGTTATATATAGATTTTCAATTGCATGGGGGATCAGCCCCAACCTCCACAATGTCCAAGGGTCAGCTGTAATATATGACTTTTGATATACTCATAATGAAAAACCAAATCTATCTGTAAAATTGTCTTAGTAATCACTTCAATTCTTTGCTTTCCTTTGTAAGCAGAAATGGTGCTCCCTAATCTCCCCATGAGAGAAGAATCCTGCACATCTAGTCAACAGTTCCAGGAGAGGTAGGTAATTAAGTTTGCTACCTTATTTCTCAGAGGCATTGGCTACATTTAACAACGGCCCGTCAAATGATGGATGAAGACACAAGGTGAAATCTACCACTGACATTCTCTTAAGAAAATCTTGTACCAGCTTACCAGGACACCGTTGCCTCAGGTGAAGCAAAGAACTCGCAGTGTAAGAAAGCGCTGTAACCAACCACCGTAGCATAATTCTCTTCATCTTCAGTTTGTATCAGTGGACGGACATCTGTTTGAAAATGACATAAATACAGTTGTCAACGTTCATGTAAGAAATAATGTGCACACATTAGATTTTTCTACATCCTAGTCATATTAACAGAAAGGGGAGACAGCCGAATATTGCAGTATATGTTCCTGAATTAGAAAAATATCCAAATTCAATACATTTTTGAAAGTATGTAGGGGCACCTGGGTGGCTCAGTCAGTTAAATGACTATTGATTTCGGCTCAGGTCATGATCTCGGGGTCGTGAGATCGAACCCTGCATCAGGCTCTGTGCTGAGTGTGGAGCCTGCTTAAGATTCTCTCTCTCTCCCTTTGCCCCTTCACCCCCACTCCTGTGCACACACACTCTCTCTCTAAAAAAAATAAAATAAAATAAAGAAAAAAGACAAAAGAAAGTATAATTTTAGTATGAAGGCTAATACCCAAGTGTTAGATGAAAGGTACTTTGATGATATCCCCCCCCCATGTTTTATGTGTGTGGAATTCAATCTACTTGTATGCACGACCTTGTACATCTTCCCTTAGAAAACAGCAGGTAAACAGTCTGCTTACCTACAACATCGATATTGGCATTGGCAAGGATGGTGCCATGGACATTTGAGGCTTCACACTGGTACACAGCAGTGTGATTCGGTTGCAGGTTGGTAAAACTGATTTCTCTGGGGGAGACAACATCACCAGCAAATGGATTTTCTGCAAGAGATTAAAGAATGTCAGTTTGATAAAAAATAGGACATAAAATATTTACACGCCATTATTAAATGTGTCACACAGTATTTATATTTTAAGACCAGTTTAGGGTGAATAATAGTTCACTGAAGCCAATTTGTAGAATTTCTTTGCATCAACCATGGGCTTTTCTTTCCAGACCCTTCTCCAATTTCAATCTTCCTTCAGATTAATATTTGTTGCTAAAATATTTGTTGATCTCTAGCTCATTGCCTCTCCCTATCCATACCCATAAATAAAATTTCAGATTTTCTGTTCAGCATTCAAGTCCCACTATAACTAAACCTCACTTATTCTTATAAATTTAGGTCCCAATACTGCCAAAACAAATCCCATGATCAGCATGGAGTGATCCCACCAGTCCACCAACACTGGCTCCTTTGTTCGCCATTTGACACTTCTGTTCCTCTATTTGATTCTTCTTCCCTGTGCCATTTTCTGATCTATACCATTCATTTCAATTGTCTTGCTTTCCTATTTAACCACGTTGGATACACAGCTCAGACATTTTGTTTTCACAGTAAAAGTAAACACTTCTTGAGATCAGGGGCCAGAGTTTCTACTTTTTGGCAATAAATCCAACCTTACTCCTGATCCAGGTATAATTCTGGAAATATCTTTGGGAAATGAGAAAATCTAATATTTCCGGTACATTTATTAAGGGCCAAAGAACTCTGTTGGAAATAGCACATGTGCTGTCTCATTAAAGAGGAAACATATTAGCTATGAATGTCGAATGAGGGCACAGATGTTAAAATTTTTAGTTTAAATGACATTACAAGGGGCGCCTGGGTGGCCCAGTCAGTTGAGCATCCGACTCTTGATTTTGGCTAGGGTCATGATCTCAGGGTCATGAGATCAAGCTCCAAGTCAGGCTTTGCGCTGAGCGTGGAGCCTGCTTAAGATTCTTTCTCCTTCTCCCTCTGCCCCTCCCTGCTCGCCCTTATTGTGTCTCTTTTATACAAAATAGTGACTATACTAAGTTTTGGTTTATAGAAAACATAGAATATTGCTTATTAAAATAGAAGAGTATCCTTATACATTTGAGAGTCAAAAATGAACATAATTTGGGGCACCTGGGTGGCTCAGTTATTAAGCTTCTGCCTTCAGCTCAGGTCATGGTCCCAGGGTCCTGGGATCAAGCCACACATCGGGCTCCCTGCTCAGTGGGCCTGCTTCTCCCTCTCCCACTCCCCCTGCTTGTGTTCCTTCTCTCGCTGTCTCTCTCTCTGTCAAATAAATAAATAAAATCTTAAAAAAAAAAGATGAACATTATTTTACACTTGACTGTGAGCTCCACATAGGCAGGATCTTGTCTGTGTATTGTACACAGTGTCCCCAGAGCAGAGTGGAGGCAGTCAGTAAATATTTCCTGAAATGATGGAAAACCATTTATGTTGGATGGCATTTTATTCCTAGAAGGTTTCTGTGGTAGGCAGAGTAATAGCCCCCAACAGATACCCACGTTCTAATCTCTACCACTAGAACATATTATACCTTCCACGGCAAAAGGGACTTTGCAGAGGTGATTAAGGTTAAGGGCCTTGAGATGGAAGGATTATCCTGGATTATCTAAGTGGGCCCAACGTAACTACAAGGTTCCTTAAAATCAGAGAAGCTTCCCTGGCCGTGGCCAGCGGAAAGGGTGATGAGGCTATGAAAAAATGGTCAGATATGCAATGATGCTGACTTTGGAGATGGAGAGTATTGTGCCAAGGAATGTGGGCTCTCTCCAGGAACTGGAAAAGACAAGGAAAGGGGTTCTCTCCTAGTCCGTCCAGAAGGGAACACAGTATGGCTGACACCTTCATTGCAGCCCAGAGAGGCTTATTGGACTTCTAACCTACAGAATTGTAAAATAATACATGGATACTGTCTTAAGCCACTAAATTAGTGATCATTTGCATAGCAAGAGTAGAAAAGTGGTACAATCCTTCAGGGCAGTTTATCTCTTGAGAATGCTCAGGATGAGTTGCTCTTTCAAGTTCTTTAAGGCTTTAAAGGACTGGAACCTCTGATCTGATTTTGCATTCCCACACCCAACACCCAGCTCTACAACTTTCAGAGCTCACCCCATCATTATCTTTAGACTCCTTGTTTCATCTGCCCATGGTAAACCCTGACTCAAACACAGCATTACAAAAAGAGAAAATGAAAGTGTAGCCACAGATTTGAGATGACAAAGAGCTAAGCATGGCTTGAGGCTGCCTTTCAGGAGAGGTATGGAAACTGCAGAGTGTTGCTGCATATGGGCTAAGGCTAACAGGAGCTCCCAGGATTCAAGAAAGCCAGTACTCTATCAATATCCACCAAAACACACTAGTTCTGTCATAAGTTGTCTTTGGTCAGCTCAGTGGGTGATTATGCAATAAATAAAGTGGGAGAAACTTCAGCTCTGAGACTTCATCATTTCTGGGTTCCGTGTCTGGCTCTAAATAGACTGGTGTTGTGTCTTCAATTAAGTAACGTGACCTCCCTGAGCCTCAGTTGCCACATGTGCAAACTGGAGAATAAAAAATAAAAAAATAAAAAATTCTCTTCTGCAGGGCATGTTAGGAAGCTCACAGATACTGGAGGCAAAGCATTTGAAAAAGGTTAGGCCTGTTACCAATACTAGTAACCAATTTCATTTAATTTTGAAATACTACGTATAGAGGATATAGAATTGCTAGAACTGTAAGCTCAGAGAGATTTAGTCAGCCCACTGTGATCAAGCATCCCAACCTATAAAGGGCTACAGCCCGTTTGCAGGGGCGCAAGGAGAGTTGTGGGAGGAACACCAAGCTTAGACTGCAAGGATGTGGCTTTGGCTCTACACCCGCCATTATTCAGCTGTGCTGTCTCGTGTAAGTTAATTTCAGCCCTGAGCTCCTCATCCAGGAACAAACCTATTGGCTCTGCTTTGAGAATACATCCAGAACCTAACCATTACTACTACCAACCTAGCCCTCAGCTATACGGTCTTTCAGGCTGCTTCTAGCTGGAGCACTCATACAGCTGCTTCTCCATTCAGAGGTCAGAACAATCCTTTGTTAATAGATTAGAACACATCATTCTCCTGCTCAAGAACCTCCCAAGTCTCCAGCTGGGCTTTCACCTTTATACGCATGATGAGGCTCCTGTGCAGCTGCCTGATCTTGTGTCCCAGCCCTTCAACTCACTCAGCTTCAACCACCCCAGACTCCTTGCTTGACATCAACACTCCAAACATACCTCAGGGTCTTTGCACTCACTGACCTCTCTACCCTGAAAACTCCTCCCCACGTATTTACATGGCTGCCTCCTTCACCTCCTTCAGGCTTTCTACTTAAAGGTAAATTACCACAAGGGGCTTACTAGTATTATCTTAAAATAAAACAGCAACTATGGGTCCTGAACTTCTCTTATAACCAACCCTTACTCAGCTATTTTTTATTTACCACACTACAGCGCACGGTTACGTGCTTATTCGTCCATTGATTGACTCTCCCCACTAGGTTCATTTCATTCACGGCTACCTCCCAAGCAATAAGGCCAGTCAGCGCCTGGCACAAAGAACGCATTCAATAAATATTATTGAATGAAGGAATCAATCGGTTAAATATGAATAATCGTACTTCCATTAAAAATGTTCACTTGGGGATTCAAAGCAATATGTGAATATCTATCCTTCATAAACAGTCAAGTGCCATTCAGATATAAGTTTTATAATTTTATGTTCCAGAGAATCTGCATTCCTTATTTCAGCATCCTTAACATTCTTTATAAACAACAATTGTTTTCATTTCCCTTAGATCTACCTGAAGCCTCATCTTTCATTTCTTAGTCTGCTCTCTAGAGAGAAGAAAAAAAAATCTCAAATTTGAGGATATTAATAATGAGGGCTAAGGTTTCCTGAGTGCTTGCTATGTGACAACAATAATAGTAAACAATAGTTTAGGAGTGTCCCTGTCCCGAGCATTCTCTGCATGGTGTTTTCTTTAATCCGCACAACAACCCAAGAGTTGGTGCAATTTTCAAGCCCATTTTACTGATGAGGAAGCAGGTTTTAAGAGAGTCAGTAATAGGCCCAATCACACAACTAGTAAATGGTAGAGTCTAGATGCAAACAGAGGCATTCTGGCCCCAGAATTTATAAACTACCAAAATGTTCTACAGAAAAGCCACTATCCTAGGTGGTTGGCCACATTTACCTCATTCAATCACAACCAACTACCATTAGCTATGTTGTGCTGTTAAAAAACTAAAGCTTTGGGGCACCTGGGTGGCTCAGTCATTAAACATTTGCCTTCGGCTCAGGTCACGATCCCAGGACCCTGGGATCAAGCCCCACATCAGCCTCCCTGCTCAGCCAGGAGCCTGCTTCTCCCTCTCCCACTCCCCCTGCTTGTGATCCCTCTCTTGCTGTGTCTTTCTGTCAAATAAATACATAAAATCTTAAAAAAAAAACAAAACTAAAACTAAAGCTTTAGGAGATTCAGTAAACAGCTCAAGATCATACACTTGGGAAGGTGCACAGCCTAGATGGGACCTCAGGTCTGTGGACCACCAGGATGTCTACCCTTGACATGAGTGGGTCCAGGACAAAAGGGACTTATGAAAGCAACAGATAATAACGTAAACACTCGAAATTAAGCTAATTAATTGACAAAATTTGTTCTATCCTACTTTCACAAGGACACTCAAACTGACAGACCTCTAGGTTCAAACTGAAGATTTTTGGAGTTCTCAGAGTTCTATGCTGGAAATGGTAGAGTAGGGAGAATCAGCCTTCAGCCTTTGTGCATCCCCATCCTTCCCTGTCCAGGCCTTGTGGGAGGGCTCAGAGTTGACTGGACAGGGATTTTTCTGGTCTTGGGTACTACTGGAGCTCCATCGAGAACATTAGGGAGCCAGGGGTAGGGTGCCTGTGTCTCACTGGCCCTGTGAATTTCTCAAATAATAGAGGAGGCAGGCATGACCAAAGGATGGCCAGAGCAGGTGCTTGTAAAGAGCAGAACCCAGGGCAGGGTTGCTGTTGCCTGGGTCTATGGTAAGTCCTGACTTCCAGCCCATGCTCTCAACCACTAGGTTACTGCACCTACTTCTTCTCAGGGAGAAGGAGAGCGATGGGCTTTCTTCCTTGGATTCCCTTTCTCATTCACTTGTTTTAATTTTTTTTAAAGATTTTATTTATTTATTTGCCAGAGTGAGAAAGAGAGAGAGCGAGCACAAGCAGGGGGGAGGGGCAGGCAGAGGGAGAGGGAGAAGCAGGCCCACCCACTAAGCAAGAAGCCGACGTGGGGCTCCATCCCAGGACCCTGGGATCATGACCTGAGCAGAAGGCAGACGCTTAACCAACTGAGCCACCCAGGCGCCCTTTGTTTTATTTTTGTAACCATGTTTTTATATACAATTAATGTAATGACCCAACAAATACAAATATTATTTATGGCTTTTCCATAAATCTAAGCATAAATCAAACTGCTTAGAAAGATGCAATTTTTGGATTTCCTGGCTGAATCTGTCTTGATGGTCCAGCCACTTCCCAGTTGCATTTTACACATAAGCAGGGTGTCGGATGATCAACCTTCCCAGCACACCATTGCCTTCGGCACTGCATCACAAGTGGTGTTTTCACTCACTGTCAATTGGGGAGCCATTCACTCTCCACTTGATTGTGGGTTCAGGTTCTCCTTCTGCCTCACATAACAAGATACCGCTGCTCCCAGTGCTGTACACACCACTCTGAGGTTTCTTTGCCCAGCGAGGAGGCTCTGGAAGTAAAGTGAAGAGATCATGAGTGAGTTTATCCATGTCAGAAGGTCCAAAAATGTTAAGGCCTGCACTTCTCTAATGCACCAGCAGATGGCAGGCACAATAAAGTGTTTCACACTAGCTCTTTCTGGTCCTTGCTCTGGAAGGCAAGATGGGCACTGTTTTTGTTATAGGGTGTGTGTATGTGTGCGCGTGTGATCTAATTCGGACTCTTAGCATGTATAATAAAATCAACATATAGACAATCACTTTATTCAGCAACACAACTATATCTCATTAACAGAAAATGAAGGAGGGATAAGCAGATGGTTAAGTTTATTTAGTGCTGCCTACAGCTTATTTTCAAGCTGCAGCAAGGCATCTAAAAAGGCTGATACTCGATAAACGTATTTTGAGAATTTTTTAATGAAATTAAAATGTCCAGCATTTATTTGAAATATTTCTAAATGACTTTGTAGCATCTATATACCATATCTATATCAACTTATCTATCTTAAAAATTGGGGAAACATTATTTTTCTAGATTATTTTTTGTAAGGCAGGGAGAAGGAAGCCTAAAACCAACATTTAGCTTACTGTCCTCAAAACAATGGAAGAAAAGATGTATTTAAATTACTTGCATCTTCTCATGCCCTAATGCTCCAATAGTGTAATTCTAAGTGGTGTTTCAGGACAGAATGAGACATTTGTCTTTAGTGCAAATATTACTGCCATACCTTGTCACCTTAAGTATATTACTATGTCAGGATTGAATAAAAGATTTAGATTAAAGTGTCGATGGTTTGGATAATTTGATTCCAGAGAAAATTGCACAATACCTGCAGGGAGTAATTCCCATCAAGCGTAGCTTGGTTATTTCCCCCAAGACATTTTTGGATTTCCATTTTTGTCAAAAAGAAACTCTTTTAAAGGTACATATATGTGTAAAATGAAAAAAAATGTCACTTAAACTGCCTTTTTTTAAGTAAAGGGGAAACAAAGGGATTATGTGAAAAGAAAATGCCTATAAATTCACCAAGAAAAACAAAAATATACAAATAACCCTGGCAAATTCAAGTCCGAGCACGAGACATGCCTTAGTAATTATTCCATAGGGTGTGGGCTTAGTTACTAAATCTTAAATTCAAAATGTGTATTCATAATCTGTAAATATTCAGTCATTTAGGTTAAAATGCAATCGTCCAAATTATAAACTGCTTATGACCCTCTGAGATGGGTGTGTATGTGCTTGTCTATGCACATTTTTGATGTTATTGTTACTTCTGTCTTTTCACACAACCACAATAAAATAAAACATTCGAGTTAGAGAAAAAAGTTCCATGAACATGAAAATTTCCATGTTTACAACAGCAAACTAAGACTATTGCTTTCAGAGCAGATGTAGAATGTAGAAACATAAATCATAGGGCTGTAATGTACAGCATGTTGACTGTAGTCAATCACACTGTATTGCATATTTGAAAGTTGCTAAGAGAGTAGATCTTAAAAGTTCTCATCACAAGAAACAACAAAATTGTCATTATGTAGCCATGAATGTTAACTAGACTTAATCTGGTGATCATTTTATAATATATACAAATATCAAACCATTGTGCTGTACACCTGAAATTAATGTTATCTGGCAATGATAGAATAATAATAATAATCTGCCAAATAATAAAATAAAGGAGATCATGTAATGATGACATTTCTTTAAATATACATGAATAATAAAATCAGGATTTTATTTCTATTCTCATCCTACAAATTTCATTAACCTCTAGGTGTCTGCATTAAGCTTAAGTTATCACCCTGTCCAACTCTCCTTGCAGACCAAGGACTGAGCCTTGGAGATGCTGTCTAACTTGCTCAGTGTCACCGAGAAAAGAAGCCCTTTTCTGTGTTCTTGCCACTCCATGGATCTGCAGACCTATAAATTGAGCAGCATTGAGACCCCAATGTAAATGTGATGTTATTCCTAGTTAATTACTATTTTATTAATTTGGACCACTGATAGAAACCAAGGCCATATGGCTTTACCAACTTTCCCTTGTGCTTCCAAATCCAAGCTCCTCCAACATCTATCCACTGGAGGTTGATAGCAAGATTTCGTATATTCACTAGGAATCATCACCCTTTTGGATGAGCATTTTTTTTTTTTTTTTATAAATGCTTGGACATTTGTTTTTATGCTTCTCAGATAAATAAAGAGCCAGGGTGGAATCTTAGTCTTTCTTGTGTCTCCTCTGCTTGGCACAATGAGAACAGATACATGTGGAGTAATTATGAGTTAAACTGAAATGATTGATCCCTAAAGACCCCAGTGAGAAAGGCATTGGGAGGAAAGAAGGAGCCTGAGATAGGAGGGAATCACTGACTTCTCAATCTCATAATTTCAAGTCTTGGTTGAACACATTTAGCTAGTTGCTACTTTGTTCACAAAAGAACACGTAGTGAGCCTGAGAACAATGGCCATGGGTCAGGTTATTTTTGGTGAGTGAAGTTAGGCTAGGCACACGCAGGAACAGAGAACAAACAGATGTTTTCCAAAGCTTAGAACATGTAACTCTATTCCTGAAGGGTAAGATCTAGTGGAAAGGATGAAAAAAAGCTCAAGAAAAAGGGGGAGGAAAGAAAAAGGCTAAAATGGAAAATTCTAAGAGACAACATCATCACTGAATCTCACGCTTTTACCTATTATCCTAAGATACGTGGTAACTGATGAAAACTACTTAGGTTGAAACTTTCCTCATTTTGTCAAATTGTGACTAAAAAAGATGATAATTTCTGTATGCTGTTAAAAACTGAGATGCAAATGACTGAACATTTAGAATATAATAAGCAAGTTAATTAGAGACGTTTATCACTGGAAGGAAAATGAAATGAAATACAATAGGAAATTTGGTACCTATAAAACAACATGGAAGCTTTTTTCTTAGTAACAGATTCCTACTAAATATCTATATTCTATTAAATCAAAATTGTTAGGTTCATCAAACTTGGATTTAATTGTAACTCTTTAGAAATAACAGATTATTTGAAAATGAGGCTTTCTTAAGTATATCAATGAATTGCATTTGAGTTCATGATATCTTTTTAAGACAATTATGAGTATACAATTACATATAAATATTTTCCTCTTACACTAAAATTCAAAAGTCTTAAATGATTCCAAAGTTTACTACATGAATGCTGTTGGTGGGAGTTTATTTTTAAATAATTAGTTAAAATGTGATTGTGGTCATATTCCGATTTCTGGATTTAGAGTATTTTAGATGCCATTTTAACATCTCTCCTTACTGAATGTAAAATATTTATATCATAGATGCCTAGAAAGGACAGCTGTCCCTCGTCAAGACAAGGACGTTTTTGCTTACACGTATTACAGAATTTGAAAATGCATACGGTTTTCATATTTAGGATGTTGTAACTTCAATTACAGAATTTGTGTTTAGTAATAAAGAAGAAACATCACATAGACAGAGACTACAATATAATACACGCTTTTATTTAAGCACAAATGGGTGTTTTCAGAATGGACTCGATTTTCAAAGTTCACAATAGCATTGTTCTGTGATCCTACGGTAATCCTTGCTATTTCATTTGAGTTTCTAAACAAGAGACAAAAAAGGGAAAGAAAGTGCAGGAAAGCAGAAGACAATTGAATAGAATAAGCTCATCCGTGCTTATGAGTAATGAGGCTTATATTTACTGCTTTCACATTTAAAAAAGAGAAAAACCGACTTCTTGAGCCCAGTTTGCTTTTCACTTGCATGTGTGAAGAGAAACCACTAAAACATACAACTGAGGGCACATTTAGTAGCTTCTCATTAAGGAGAAAAGATTAAATGTTCCTAATAAAAACATAATTTACATCTCAATAGTGCTAATAGCTGTTTTATGAATAGTGAGGACAATTTGTTCAGGAAACCTAGATTCCTTTGGAGTACTATAGTCAACATTTTAAATTGCGTAATTAAGTTTACATCCTTTTTTTTTTTTTTGCAACCCTTGCAATTCTTTTGAAAGCTTCAGTCTTACAGTCAAGAAAACCGTGGCCAGATTGTTAAAATATTCAGCTACCGTAGCAATGTTCCAGCCATCTGGAAGGATTTCTAATAGTCAGCAACTTGGAGTAGGAGCAGTTAACAATTAGACATGTCTGGTTTGTGGGTATGTGTTTGCGCTGGGCAGGGGTAAAGGGTTACAGGAAAATATCCCTGTTGCATGGTGTAGCTTAATTATATGGGAGCATCAAATGATGACTAAAAATATATCTACAAACCTCTCAAACTCTTCCTCTCTGAATTTCTTTGTGAATAATTTGAAATCAGAGGAATATATCACTGTTGGCAGCTATTGATATTTATGTGTAATATTGGTAATATGAGTAATAGTTCTCCTATATAGGTTTTGCTTTTTTTGAATCAAGGAAAATGATATTCTCATCTTTGGCTTTCCGCTCTTCCTAACTTAATCATATACACTGTGGGCTAGGTCTTGGAAACGCAGTGTCATTCCAAACAGCAGATGACTAAAACAATTATCCTAACATTTACTTCCAAGTGGAATGTGTGTCTGAGTCTTCATTTTTTTTTTCCCCATTAATTAAAACAGTCAGCCTTTTACTTAGGTGTTCCCTGCACAAACTGAAGGTTTAAGCGGTAAACTTTATTGGAATACAAATGGAAACCCTAGAGCATCAGTTCACTAAATAGGATCCTGAAAAAGACAATTCCTTTCAGTAGTTAAGCCTACACAGTACTAAATAAGTACAAATGCAGTAATCAATCCATTAATTTGATCAATACAGTAAACCAAACTATAGATAGGAGACCTCAGTGTAATCAGACCCACAGAAAACAGTCTGCATCAATCAGATTCCCAAGATGCCTAGATAACCTTTACTTGCAGGGCAGATACAGCTCCAATATCTACATGGTGTGATATATAGATTTTTTAAAAAATGATGACATCATGGCCCACTTATTTCTGTGAATATAAGAAACAATAGCTAAGCCCCTATTGATTAAAAGGCTTGGGTTTACAGAGATGACTTGAATATAATGTGTATTTTGCATCATTTGATTGAAAATAAATATTTCTAGCACCCAGTCTACCCTTTCCTTGTAAGTAACATATTGAATGTCATGTGAACCCAAGATATGGACAAAAAAATAATGTATCTAGGAAAGAACTAAGATGATTTGTCTGACACCCTCATTTCTTTGAGGAAGAAACTGATGTACAGAAAGGTGAAGCAAATTGATCAAGGACATAGCAAGTTAACCATAGGCCTAGGAAACAAGCTCATCATGATACTCATCATAATAATTCCTTCCTTTGTAATGCTTACTTCTTCTATGATTTAATATTATGCAGCATCATATGTTCATTATAATAAAAATTATGTGGAAGTCATCTGTGTTTAATCCCTAACGTGAGATCTTTTCTTGCCATTTGTCCCTTTTATAAGGTATCGTGGGGTATACGACAAATCTGGTTAATTGGAGTATAATAGAATCCAGTACCCACTCTCAAATTAAAAGTTTAAATGGCTTACCTGTTTTAACATATATGCTTTAGAAGGGTAGGTCCACTACATATAGCAATTCACCTTTTTTTTTTTTTAATAGAAGAAAAATAAATCAACATGGGGAATGTACCTTCTACTATAACATGAAAATCATGAGTGGTTGATCCTAAGAAATTGTTGGCTGTGCAACGATAATTCCCTCTGTCCTGGTAGGAGACATTCTCTATCTTCAAAGTCTTGCCATAATTTTCTTTTGTTTCTCTTCCTTTTGGTAAGTTGCCACCTATTTTGTTCCAATCAACCTGTGGAGTTGGTCTGCAACACAATAAATGAGTGGTAAACATTTTTTAAAGTGCAAAATTAAATTCAAAGAGCCTCCCAGATTACATCCCTTAACATGATGCTTTTATGTATGCACTTGGAGCTCCAGTAAATAAAAATTAGCCTTCCCAGTGCACAGACCTGCACACCACCTTCGATGGTGAACGTCAGATTGGATCAGGTCTCCTTTACTGAAAGCTCCTTGAATAGTCTGCTTCTACGGAAATCAAGTTTCTTCTATTAAGAGGGTTGACTACTTATAATAGCTGAATAGGTGTGGCTAGATAAAAGGGTGGATAATTGGACCCACAGAAATACCATAAGATATTTTTCAAACTTTCAATATTTACAAGATATATTTCAAGTGTGAAATCTCCTTGCAAGTGATTTGAAGTGGCTAATAATAACTGCCCCTTTCCCTGTATGAGTTTGAAAAACAAGATAAAGTAGGACCCAAGAGTAAGCAGAGGGAAGCCATGATATCCTCTTAATCCTAATGAAGCTGATAGTGGAGAACACAGCTCAGATGTGACAGCCAAATGTGTTGGCTGGACCTCAGAACAGCCTGCTTTAGGACAAGGTGGGCTCTCCACAGACATGGCTACGCAGGTGGCTTTCTCCCTCTGTTAGGGAACAGAGGGAAGGGGGAATGAACCACATCTCCCTTCCTTGGAAAGATGAGATCACCCAATCAAAACAAACAAAAAAAAAGTAAAAACAAAACAAAACTAAAACCAAACTGATAACTTGTCACACATCAAGAGGATAACTTTCTCCACCTTAGGGAGGGAAACAGGAGTGGAGAGTCAAGCCAGCTGGGTTCAAGAAAAATCCCAGCTCACAAAAACTAGATGAGTGGAGGATGGGTGCCATCTATGACTCTTGTGATTTAAAAACTATGTGGAGGGGTGTCTGGGTGGCTGAGTCGGTTAAGCGGCTGACTCTTGGTTTCAGCTCAGGTCATGATCTCAGGGTCGTGGGATGGACCCCCTGTCCGCAGGGAGTCTGCTTGAGATTCTCTCTCTCCCTCTACCCCTCCTGCCACCTGCACTGTTGCTCTTTCTCTCTCTCTAAAATAAATAAAATCTTTTCAAAAAATTATGTGGAAAAAATATATAAATAAATAAAAATAAAAGAATTATGTGGAAAGCATTGATGGCTGATTTTAACTGATAATATTTTATTTTTCCTCTCCAGTTGGGCTACATGAATGGAATAAACTTTATTTTGCTATTTTTTAAAAAAGATTTTATTTATTTATTTGACAGAGAGAGAGAGCACGGCAGTGGGGGGGAATGGCAGGCTGAGGGAGGGGCAGAAGCAGGCTCCCCACTGAGCAAGGAGCCAGATGCTGGACTCGATCCCAGGACCGTGGGATCATGACCTGAGCCAAAGGCAGATGTTTAACTGACTGAGCCACCCAGGCGCCCCTATTTTGCTATTTTTAATGATGCTGCTTTTCCTTCCTCACTCTATTTTTATTATTAATAGCTACAAGATATTGATATGTTCTAAAGATGGGCATTATTATCATCACTTTACCAGTGAGGATTCTGAAGCTCCAAGAAGTTCATTAATTTGCTTAAAGTTCCTGGGGTAATAAATGACATGTTAGAACTTAAGTCTGTCCAACACTAAACTTGTCCTTTCTACCACTGTGTTCTATTATATTTGTGCTTTTTCCATCCCTTTTCCTTCCTAACTGTATATTCTTGGAATGTGTGCTTGTAGCCAAATTAATTAGCTACTAGTTGACAACTGAACAATTATCTCATATAGTCTCTGTAATTATCTAAGATTGTATTGATCAGTTAAAATAATTCCATTATTATGCAAAATATATTGGAGGTAAAGATGTAGGTCCTTTAACTTATGCACATTTACTCTCTTCCCCTCATCCATTCAAGGCTCAAGTGCTTACAAGCCATACAGAGCTGGAACCACTACTTTATATCTGCCCAGGCTGAGAGCACAGGGCATACTTCTGTGGGGAACAGCAATGATGCTCAGACAGGCAGCTGTGAGAAGATATTAGCTGCCGGCTTCCTGAGCACACCACCTAACAGGATGCCGAACTCAAGTCTCTTAACTGCTTGCTTTCCAAGCCATCTGTCAAAATGGCAGTTTGCCAAATTACAGGCTGCTCTGGACCTCGGTTCCTCCAAACCAGTTTTTCCATGAGTCCAGGTTTTAATAGTGCAAGCATCTCACTTTCTGCAGGATTTTTTTTTTTTTTGGCTAGTCCTCAAAAACTAGTCTAATCCTCTATACCTATCCCTTAAAAGAACAGAATAAAAAGATTACCTATAAGTATCAGGTGAACATGAGACCTCATTTATCTAGGGACATATCTATTCCATTCCAAGGATGTCCAGTTATATTCTTGTCAATTTTTTTCTTCTCTTTTTTTTTAAATTTAAGGTACTGTTAGTAAATACTAACAGTATTTGAGCAATGAAATTTTGAATGAAAATACACTGCTTAACCCTTAATCCCTTTTACTATACAAACATGCACTATCTCATAATCATATTTTTGTTCAGGTCCTTGTCCAGCCAATTTTTGTTTGTATACTTCCTTATAGTTCCTACATTTTTACAATGTAGCATCTTGCAGTACAATCACACCTAGCTTATGAATTTACAAAACAGAGAGGCGAGAGAGAAGAAACAGTGTGAGCCCAATGATCAACAGAGGGAAGCAACAATATCCCCCTCTAATCCTAAAGCAGCTTTTCCAGGGTGGGGGTGAGTGTAAACTGGCACATGAATGTGTACTTTCCACTCACTGCCTCTTCTTCTGAAGGAGATTCACAGTGTTATTTCAACTATTCAAAATTTCTGCCTTCTTCACAGAATCTGTAGACTTGAAACCCTGTTTAGTTTTTCCTGTTTTAATTAATGGTATCAGCATTTTCATTATGACTAACCATTTACAGAAATATCTACTACAGGCCACTTCTTCCGATTCAGAAACAATGCCATGCTTGGTTTCCCCACCCCACCCCGTCCCCTTAGCTGAAGAGAACAGTTCATTTGGTTTAAATATACAGAAATACGTTAAATTTAGAGGTAGTTCAGGGTCTGGAGGCAGAAAGGATGGAGTTCCAGCTCCACTTTTCACTGAGCTTGAAGAAGTGAATTCCAGCCTCTGGGCTTCATTTACCTAACCTGCAAATGGGAACAGTGATAGCCCTGAAATGTGGCAAGGATAAAATGAGCTAAGGCATGTAAAGTGTAAAATAGAGTGCCTGACACATAATAAAGGGTACAACATCCAAGTTATAATGATTTGTTTCTACAGAATATTCATGGTTTAAAAACTTCTCAGAAAACAATTTTTAAAGGACTCTAAAAATTTTACAATACAAAATCTGAACGAGGACCAGGCAAGATTATCCAGCACAAACCCAACATGAGTAAGAGGAGGCCAGTTTAGGTGAAAACTCTTTGACAATCCATCAGGAATCATCCCATCCCAAGGACACAGATATTTGTGTCCATTTTCTTTCTATATATTGCTTCATGACATTGCATTTTCCAAAAAGCTCATGAGAGCATTTGTGTTATTTTGAAAATCCGTGCAGTTCCCAGCCAACTCAAGAGGTAAATTATGGCATTTGTGGGAAATAAGAAAAAAGAATTCCTGAAATGTTCACCCTGCCCAAAGAGGCAACCAAGAATAGTGATGAATCCTGAAAGAACTGAGTTGCTACCACTGTAAACATCTATGAATAAGAACAACAGAGCAGGTAGTTACCATCACGATTCAAACTGAACCTGAGGCTTTCACCTTCTCACATAATACAGAGACCAAACTTTTGGAACAGAGGTCGTGTCACAAGGCACATCTAACTAGTTACATCAAATACACTTTGGCAATCTCAAACATATAAGCTGTAGACCTCTCTTTTTTTAAAAGATTTATTTATTTATTATTTGAGAGAGAGAGTGCACATGTGGGGGGGGAGGGGCAGAGGGAGAGGTAGAGAGAGAGAATCCCAAGCCAACTCCCCGCTGAGCATGGAGCCCCACTGGGGGCTCAATCTCATGACCCTGAGATCATGACCTGAGCCGAAACCTTGAGTCAGACACTTAACCAACTGAGCTACCCAGGTGCCCTGCAACCTGCATGTCTTTGCTGGATGGAAGAGACATTTGCAAAACTTAGGGGTTGCAAAACCTTTAAAATTGCCTCTTTTTCTTCAAAAACCAATTTAAAATCACCCATTCAGAATATATACGGAATTATGAATGACTACAATTTTTAAAATTTCAAATTCTACTTCACTAACCAGGTGCCCAGCCAAAAGAAGGCCTGAGCTTACAAGCTAATTATGTAAACTCAGGGTATTGGGATGGTGGGATGTATTTTCCCAGGGTATTCCCAATGGTAGCAATGGACGTGCGGTGATAAGCATAGAGGGATGGTGGCAGGAGAAAGGCAAACTTTCATGACTCAGAATTAAATAAGATGGTCCCTATTTGCATAGACTCAGGATACTTACTCAACAAATGTAACGATTTTAAGAGATGACCAAGTGAAATTTCCTTAAGGCATTTTTTGGAGGATTTGGAAATGTGCACTGATTTTTCAGATGTGAAAATTTGAGTTAATTATATTATTAGGTGAAGCTCTCTAAAATTACGTGGTCTGGACCTCCTTGTATGCAAAGGTCAACAGGGTGAAATAATAGATACATAAAGCTCCTTGGAACCTGCAAAGGACTCAGAGCTCGTTGCATAACGAGAAGGAGTGGCACAACATGGAACAGCCGAGAGACAAAAACCCAGCAGCAACAGTAAGAGGCTGACAACTAAGAATCTTGAGCTCTAAGGATGGCATCTCCCCACTGCCTTAGGTAAGGAGAATGTTGTCATTGTCACCTCCATTCACACTATCACAAACTGACAGAACAATCTAATTATAAATCAATCTCAGTCACAGCCTGAAATCTGTAGAGTGAAGTGCAAATTACTCCCTCCAGAAATGTAGTAACAGAATTTTTTTTAAAGAAATAATTTAAAAATGTGTATCTAGGATTAACTGCTTAACTGAGGCATTATTCTTTACAGAAATGGATGGACAAAGTGATGAACAGAGGTCAAGTTACTCACAGGCCTTCCGCAAAACACTCCAGCAGCAGGGTGTCCCCTTTGAGGATAGTAACTGAAGACTCACTGCCACGTTCAGTAGGAGGCAACAGCAGTCTGGGTTTCCTTTGCTTGATCGAATTTGCTATAATACAAAAAAGTCACAAATTTTTTCCAGACTAAGAGTGTTAAAATCCCATGGCACTAAATCTTTCTTAAAACATACTTTAAACACATATACCTATATGTACCTATGTATATATATACATAGACTATATTTAATATAGCACCATTTAAATAGACTCCATTCTTACCATAAAGCATGGATTGTCCTTCAGATGCATTAACTTAGCGGAGTACCAGGTTTTAAGAAGGTTGTGACTAAAACCACATCTTCAAATTCCAGAAGTTCAAGATAATTAGTTTCTTGATGAAAGCCTTTAAAAGTTAACTGATAGTCTATGATTTTATATTCTACACTTTAATCATACCTGGCCATGTTTGATGGCTGTGTAAAAATAAAAATATTTTTATTTAATTTAATGTACCTAAGTATTTGATAAGATTCCTGTTATAATTCAGCTCCCTAGGCCTTGTTCCCAGAAATTCTGATTCAGGAAGACTGTGGTGGACCCCATGCATCTATGAAGTTATCAAGCTCTTTAAGATGACTCTGTTTACAGTCTCAGCCCCTCAAAGAGAAACACGGTTGTAGGGAAGGATTAGCAAGCACTCTCACTAAATACAAACCGAACCGTTCCAGTCGTTACTTCTCAAGAGTACTTTTCAAATACAATGGCAAATGAGGACTTGCATTTTCAATGTAAATTTTAACAGCATTTCCAAATGTTTACAGAAATTTTTTTTTTCCCCATCCAATGTTAATGTGATTTGACATGACGTGGGAAGTATAAACAGCTGACATTCAGAGTAGAGATATGAAGGGCATTGGTAACAGTGTTTACATGCAACAGTTCCTTATAAGTATTTATGGAAAAATAATTGTTGAACACACATTATATGCAATTATTTTTCACTGAGTGGTATAAAGACACAATATATATGACTGGGTTATTGACCCCAATGACCATGAAGGTGGGGATGTATGCTAATCAGTCCACCGTCAAACTGAGGGTGCACCAAAAAGAGCCCTCATCCAGCCCTTGTGATGTTGCCAGTGTATCAGATATCTAGATTAAGACACTGGTTCCAATGGTATAAAGAACCTGTGTTGCATTCACGTAAAGGATTCTTCTCGTTGTGGAAAACTAGCTTCCTACAGAATTCAGATTTACTCAGGCATCTTCCAAAAAACACTAGCTCTATTAGATGTTCTGTGGGGGGGTAAAAATGAAATATTTCACAGACAAATGAGTTTGGAAAATGTTACAGACTGTATTCTTTCTCACAGTTACAATGGACAGTCCCATGTTAAGTACTCTGAGAAGTCTTACTAGAAAAATAACCATTTAACTTTCTTAAATCTAGTGTTTCTCTACTTCTGTTGATATTCAACCATTTCTTTTTCCTTTCTGCATGTAACAGCTATCAACCAAAATGTCATTCAACCATGGCAGACATTTTAGGAGATGCAAAATAATTACTCTGTTAAAAATATGCAGATATATATGTGTGTGAGTGTATGTGTATTTGTCTATGTGAATTATATTACATATATACATTTACAAAGTGATGAATTTATAAATATCACTCCTTCACACATATTTAAGGAAGGAGGGGGTAATAGAAACCTCTATGCTCAGGCGTTTTCCTTTATAAAAATATTAGTATTTTAATATACTCATGAAGATATTAAAGGAAAAATTTAAATTCTGAGATGATAATGAGCTACAAAAGGTAAAAATAAATGCCAACATTCTTCATGTGATTGACTTACCCTTGGAACCAATTCCTGTGGATGAACTTGAGTCATTAGCATGCCTTACTGAAATAAAAAAAAAAATGAAAGAAAAAACTCACAAACATAATGGTAGATGCTGATATCAATAATGAATGAAAAGCCATAGTTTTCTCTTAGAAAGATTACAAAATGAGATACAACCATGCTTCACTAGAACATCATCTTTGGGGATATATTGGGAAAAAAAAAAAATATAATGAGTTTAATCTTAAACTACCACAGCTGAATCCAGGTCGAGTGGACACAAATTACAGCTCTGTTAAAGAGAATTGGGGCTGCCAAAAGGTATGCTATAGTGAAGCCCTGGCATAGTGTATCTACACATAAGATGGAAAAAACCATGAACCAAATTAGACAATGGAATGGTAATGCCAACTTGTGACTCTACCAGAGCCAATTATTCAGTCAGTGAACTGTCGGGGATTATTTTTTGGTTCTTTCTCCCACTAATGACTTTTTCCCATTTGGGAACCCAGACTGGCATCTGCAGAATCAAGTAGGGAAGAGAAGCAACCCACATAACTTTGCCAATTTGGGAAGGACAACAAAACTTGATGTGACAAAAATTATAATATTCATTCTTTTTCTTTCTGACTCTTGTTTTCTTTCACATTTGCAGCCTGCTGGTTACTCAAGATCGCAATGCATCAAAGCCTGAGACTTGCTTCAGAAACCCTGGAATATTGCTGTGTATTTCACCCACTGCAAAGGACCAGATCCTGCAGATGTCAAATGAAATATACTTGTACTGTGAATTGAGATTTGATTTTCTGGCTCTGAGAGACAGAGCTACTGTAGATCTGCAGCTGCAGATGTCTCTTTCATCTGGATGAAGTCTCTAGAGTTGAACTAAACAATGGCGGAAAATATCAACCCAGCTTTAACTGGCTTCAGCCAGAATGAAATTACAGGCACATTTGTATTCAGCATTCACGATGGAACGACAAATTATTTGGACTTACAACTGTTAACTGTTAGTTTCATTGGCATTTTCTGCACAATAGTCCTCAATCTTGGGAATGCGGCAAAGCAACAGTAATCATTCCTGCTGTCTTTTTCTTCCACGTTTGCAAAGTACAGATCTCCCTTTTGACTCATGTATACTCTTTCATCTTGTTCGATGTGTTCTAATTCTGGAAAGAAACATCTTGTCATTAATAGGGGCAACTGTCCTTTATTGTGCCTCATCCCCCTTCTTCATTTTCCTTTCTTTCCTATTATTTCGTTTTGTTTTCTTTTCATGCTTGTTCTTCCTATTCCTTGTAAGTCTGGTCTTACAAAAAGAACAATGAGTGAGAAGTAAAAAATAAACAAACAAACAAACAAAAAACAACCCTCTTTCGACCATTAACCAAAGAAGCCCCTTGGTGGACAACCAGTCTGTAGATTCCACCTCTCTTTTCCATCTAAGCCTCTACTTCTGTACTGGCTTATATGAAAACTGGTTCAATTGGTCCAATCAAACAGATCTCCGCAAAAGTTGTGTCTGAGAGAGATATTAATCTGTCTTTCCTGGATGCAGCCTCGAATGTTCCAGGGTGATTGGAGTCTGGAATGTTTGGCTGCAGCCAAGAATAGTTTCTCTCACTTCCTTCTGAGGACTATATAAATATTATCATTTTTCTCTCAGGACCACAATGAGAAAACATTTAGGGCACATTGTGAAGGCACATGCCAGAAGGACTTTACAAGAAGCTGTAATTTCAACCCGAGTGTTAATACAATTTTTTTTGGCAAATTAAACACAAAGGTTAAGACTAATTTCTCTGTAGGTCACTGTCTGTAGTGGTAGAACATTATTAAAATAGAAATCTAACACTAGCAACACAGACCCAAGCATCCTCAACTTTGACATGGATAATATTCCAAAGGTGAGTAAGTTGTTTGGAATACAGAAAGTATTTTCTTCATAGACATACTTTACCATATCAATAGCTTTTACTCTCTCAGATAAAACCAAGAGAAATATTTAGGGGCTTTCTAGTGTTTTCACATATATCCTTAATAGAACAGTTAAAACTTGGAACACACTATATAAATGGATATAATTTTTTGAAAATCTATTTCATTCCATAATGATAATATTTTTTCCTTTTTGTCCCCCACGTTGATAATCTTAGATTATTTTTTAATCTTAGTTTCCCTATGTTATTTGACATGATGCATGAAATTAAAATCCTATGGATGGTACAGAATGTTACTTACCAATATTCATCCAATAAATGTGTAGAGGTGGAAGGCCTCTGGGAGGGTTGCATGGGAGGACAATTGGATCTCCCTCCTCCACTTCAAGAGGGTCAATTTTTTCTTTTGGGAATTTTGGAACATCTTGTAAAAAAAATTTAAGACATTATGTTAAAATTAACTTTTAATGTTATAAGAAATATATTAAAACCTTCTTTTTAAAAAATAGAGTATTTTTAACAAACTCAATGCCCCAAATCTTGGTTCTCCTATCTCCCCTGCAGAAGAAAATACTGTTAAGAATCTGGGGTGCAACCTTATATAACTTTAAAAATGCTCCTACATTTTACAAGTGTAGACAACAAATATTTTTGCTATGTGACATCAATTGGCAACAATATGCTTGTGCATATTTCTCTGCACAGAGATACAAGTTGTGAGTCACAGGATTCACTGAGTTTAAATTCTGACAGATATCGTACTTTTTTTCTTCAAACACTGTGATTTATTTTCTAGGCAGATACATATTCTCTGTCTCTGGCTTTATGGTGAAGCCCTTGAATGTGATGGGCAAATATTCTATTCAAAGTATAACCAACTAAATTAAAAATTCAAAGACCACATGGGAAAAATGGTACAAATAACAATGAAAAGACAAACATGACCACTTTAAGTTGCTAAGAGAACATTCCACGTTGGAATCACTCCCAGAAAATGAAATTTCAAATGAAATGGAACTGATGTAGGAAAGGAGACTTCACAATAATTTAACATATGGTTTCTTTCCCATGCTGGAGGCACTTTCCTAAAAGAGCAACACAATTACAAAGGGAATAAAAGTCACAACTATGTAGAATTGGAAATCCAGCATGAAGGTGTGATTATTTTTATGAAATTATTTATAAGGTAGTTTTAAGAATATTCAAAATGTATTCTGCTTGAACACTATATTGATACCTTTAGATTTTATGAGGGGGCTTTGAATGATAGAATTACTCAGGCTCTTATGGAAGATAAGGACCTTAAGAAGGTATTTATAACACTGCTGGCTTGATGGAATTTATCAGGGGGTATTCCATCTCTGTATTTCATTCTTAAATGGTGGTTCACAAAAGATTATCATTATTCTTGGAAGTCTAAAGATATACTCATTTATTATAAAAGTCTTCTTGAGAAGCTTTGTGCATTTCCTATGTATTTGTTCTCTTGCCCTCAACCCTGACCCCAACTCCTGAGTGGTTGAAGGAATTTGCTGACATATATCTCTTATCAGAGCACCAGCTAGTTACAATGAATTGCTTTTTGTCTAAATTCAAGGACCGTTCAAGGCATAGCACTTCAGGGGCAATGGGCTATATACAGTGCCTTTGCCAATTTGGAAGGCAACCTTCAATCATGTGACAATCCTCGATTCCCTCTTGGTCAACCCATTGTAGCAGATTTCTCTTGGCAAGGCTGGAAACATGTTTGAAATGGCAACTATCTTGGAATCCTGCTTTTGCTTTGGTAGCATGAAATTTCCACCAAAAGATAGGAAAGCATGCTTGGGACATTCACTATGGTAAGATCTTGTAAATAAAATATCAATGCCACCTATTTGGTAATGCCTTAGCTTTGACTGAAAGCAAATGCTATACAAATCATTTTGTAGAAAGTATACCTTATGCAAGTAACGTGTAGAAACTTACAAAACTATTATATGCCCAAAGCTCCAAACTCACATCACTTGTTTAGTGTAACTTGCTATAACTGAAACCCTGTGTTCTTTGGTATTGAAGTTAACGGTGCTATCGGATAGCTATTGAATCTGTTTATACTCAGATACAAGGGGCAATAGAGGAAGAGAAACATAGACAATGGAAAGAGCCTGTAATCCTGTTTCATAACAAGCAAACTTTACAATGCCTTACAGGAATACACAGTTCCCTGGGTGATATCTATTGTAAAGTAGCTAATTAATAAGATATATAAAGCCTTAATTGGAGAGCTGCCCCCTCAGAGTATTCAGAAAATTCTAATGATTCAAACTGCCAGTGAAGCACTAGCATCCATGCATTAATTAAATCTAGATTACAAAATTCTAATTCCAAAGATGTAAATATGTAATTCAACTGGCTTCCAAGGCATCAATAATAAAAATAAATAAAATAAAATTTATAAGTCTATCAAACACTTTATCACATATAATAAATCTTCAGAACAGTTTTTGACCAAAGATGAAATTAATATCAGGAAACAAGGGGAGAATATTTATATATTTAATCATTTAAGATCTGAGAATAGATAATATAAAAGACATTAATTTGTCAGTATTTTTTTTTTATGGTCTTCTTCTTCGACTTTGAAACTAGTAAGTATGAGTCCATGCTAGAAAGTGAACATTTTAATGGCCACAGATAAATGTGGAATTTAATTACTGTAACTCAACAGCAGGCATGAATTTTATCTTAATTCAAATAAAGAAATGACTCCATTTAAAAATAACTCCAACCAATGACTTTGGTTAATTGTATTTCTCTGGTGATAAACATTAGCATTGTTGAGTTTGGACAGATGCGATACTTTTAAAAGTGAATTGTAAACGATCATTTTTCTTTTGTGTAAGGCAACTACACTGCTTTAGCTTGCCAACATATTTTAAAATGAGTTCTCTATCAACAGCAAAAACACAATCATTTAATTATGTTTCACTAACACTGGACTTGACCCGGGAATGGCCTTTCCATAAAGGAATCAGAATCTACTTGTACATCAGCATCTATCTAAGCAGAAGTTTAAGAATGTTTGAAAATCCCATAATAACCAAGTCTACATGAAGTCAATTTCCTTTATATATAATGTCCCTACCAGTCTATCTGCATCAGGTAATCAAGCAGTTGATAGCACCCATCTTTGTTTACTGTTCTCCAATAGGCTCGCACAGTTATTATTCAGTGTTGCAGACAAATTTCTAGCAACAACTCCAATGGTATAGGTTCCTAAAAACCCAGCCAGAATCTAGCATGAAAAAACTCTTCTAGAAACTAGATAGGTGGACAGCAGTCTTCTTACTGGAACTATCAATATAAAGCAAACCAGCAAATACAAAATTTCTAGGACTTCTACAAGTTCAGCTGGTGACAATGAGTTTTGAAACTCATCATTTCAATTCTTTCAACCTAAGACACTGAAAAAGTAACATCTTTGTACTTGAAATGCAGATGACTTCTAAAAAAAATATTTTGTATTTATAGTATAGTATAAACTGGGTTCTGGCCCAGGCACTAAAACTAACTAGCCATGTAGCTTCAGACCAGTATTTTTACCCTTCTGTGCCCCCATTTATTTTTCTCTGGGATCCTAGAGTCCTTTGAAATCATCTCTCTACTAGACTAGAAGTTTCTTACGGGCAAGGATATTATAAAATTTAAGTTGTACAGTCTCACCATGCCAACATGCTTAATAATAAAGAGTAATAATGGGATAGCATCAGGATAATTTAACTTAATACAAATTGTGCTAACTAAACCACTTAAATGAAAAAGGTACAGGCGACTTAACCACTATGAAGTTATGTAACTAGAGATAATCTTTCCCTTATACTCAAGAAATCACATCAAGTCTTCTTACACTCCTATCTCTCCATGAGTCTGACACTTGACTGCCAAGGTATTTCCAACAAAAAAGTATAACTCATTTCAGCTCATCTAGAGGATGTGTTACCTGAATGATCAAAGTATAGGCAGCACTGTACAGCATTGGGGTTATATACATAAACCCTAGAGCCAGCTGCTTGGGGCTGAATCCTGGCTTCCTCACTTACTATGTGAACTGAACTGTTACTTAATGTGTTTCCGTTTCCTCACTCAAACTGCAATGACACCTCATTTACTGATTTGTGTCAAAGTTTAAATAAACCATTTTATATAAATCAATTAAATAGCATGGGGCACTTGAAAATCACTCAATATATGTTGGCTATTATTCAAGTATTTTCACTTCGTACAGTACCCCTGCCATACTGTATGAAATGAGATGGGCAAAGGGACATAGAGCTTTCTTCTGTTGTGCCTTCTGATTTTCCCTATAGCCTACATTGTAACAACTTCTGTAATTTTATGCAAATATTTGCAATTAGCGTTTACAGAGGAGGTAGGGAGGGGGCCAGAGGGAAGAAACAGTATGTATTTCATGTAGAACCTATGGTTTAAAGATACTCCTCCCCATTACTGGGCAAACCTTCCTATGCCACAGAACTTTATCTATCTTGACTTATCTATTTACAGGACCGGACTGGTGAGCTTTTTGAGTTTTCTACATTTCCATTGAATGTGTTTGGCAAATTGCTTACAGTCTGACATCATTATCATGAATGCATGCCACTGAGCTCACATGCTGTATCATCCCTAAGTTCAGTTTCCATCTGTAAAGAAATGTAATTGATTCCCACTTCCTATAGAGTACCCCATTAATCCATTTATGACTACAGAGAAATAACATTGCCTTTCAGTCTATGAGCTCGTAATGAATTCACGCTAAGGACACCCAATCCAGCCCATTTCATTCTAGTCATTCACACAATCTGATAGATGAGAGGAAAATCCTTGATCTTAATTAAAACCTGTAAAACTCAAAGTTGCACTTTCAACAAATTGATCTTCTTTAGTTGGTTTGCATACATCGGTAAAAGAAATTAGCATATGCTACCAGACCCTGCTTTTACTACCCTACCTCTCCCAAATCTGAGCAGTAAATAGCCAAAGTATGTCTTAAGGGAATTGTCCTGAGGCATCGGAGGAAGCTATACAAACGTAGAACACAGCAGACCAGAAATTCTAATTAGTTTCCATTAAAACAGTTTATAGAGGATTGCATCTTTAAGCCTGCCATTTCCTAGATTATTTTAATAGTGTGTGGAAATGGCTTTAGTACTCTTATTCATTCTTTTATTCTTCAGCCTGTGAAACAATAAATCAGGCACTGATAATATGCATTCAAGCAGCATCTGGAAGCACGCAAAGAACAGCATAGCATGACATCTTTACCATTTTTAAGTATCCCAGTTAGTACACATGACAACCAAAAGACTCCCAAATAGTATATAACTAAATGCTTCAAAAACTCCAAAGAATTTACATGTGGATTTCCTAACCTTCCGAAGGCCC